TAATGATCCAACCAAAAACATTAATATGGTCAGCTATTTAACACCCCTAAACACACTTGCAGTTGTATCCTTTAGAGCACTTTTTTCCCCTCTCTTTTTTACAATAAAATGTACACATTTTGGGTTTTATTACTCCTTAGTCCTTATTACTTTTTTTTTGGAAGAGAATAAAGTCAAATATGGCAAAACAAAGCTGTCAGTCAAAACCAAGGATAGACATAGTACATGATGTAAGAACAGAGTACAAGGTTATCAACAATGATTACCATAATGTCTCTTGTTTCCTTAAAAAGAATTGTCTATCTCATTAGGTATTATAAAGTTGAACAAAACAGTAGAGAACAAGACCAATAAAATCTAAGCATTGTAAACATTACAGGACTTCCAAAGGAGATAATAGTCAAACCAGAATGGGCATCTTAGTGAATCTTATTGCCTTCAAAGTAGTTGCCTATACCCCCAAACTTGATACTATCATACAGAATGGAACAGAGTCTAATCAGTCAAAACAAGATAGTGGGAGTATTACAGGACTTCAAAACAAGTTAATAGGAAATCAAAAAAAGTTACTATAATATATCCTGCTAATTTTTTAAATTTTTCCCCTTAATTAAAAAAAACCATAAAAAATAACTAAATAATTTTTTTTTAGTGAATAAGGGAGAGATTGAGATAAAAGAGGACATAACAGGGGCTGGGGATTTAGCTCAGTGGCATAAGCGCCTGCCTTGCAAGCAGGCCGTCATGAGTTCCATTCCCCAGTACCGATAAAAAGGAAAAAGACAAAAAAAAAAAAAAAAAAAAAAAAGAGGACATAACAACATAACAATACAGGTCAAAGCATGACTGTTTCAGCAACCTAGTGCTTCACCACCAAATAACCTGATTTAATAGTAGTTACCATAGTGTCTTTTTCCTTGAAATATTTGAATATAACTTCATATACTATAGCTTCAAATATTTCCATATCAAGAAGCCCAGAATAAAGCCTTTCCAATTAATAAATGAAAACTTTATAAGGCTTCAAGGCCACATAGTGGGAATCATGATTACCACATACTTTTATATATTTGAATCATTACTTACATTAGGGAAACTATTCAGTATTCACACATGTGAGATTGATTTATTTCAGCTTGAGTATGGTCTCAAGCTGTGCCCATTTATTGATAAATATCTCAATGTGATCCTTCTTTATAGCTGAGTAGTACCCCATTGTATAGAAATACCACAGCTTTTTTATCCATTCCTCAGTTGATGGACACTTGGGTTGTTTCCAAGATCTGGCGATTACACATCATTAATTTTCTTTTTTTTTTTTTTTTTTTCATTTTTATCGGTACCGGGGATCGAACTCACGACCGCCTGCTTGCAAGGCAGGTGCTTATGCCGCTGAGCTAAACCCCCAGCCCCTTCATCATTAATTTTCTATTGCAGTAATAGCAAATTGTCGCTGGGCTGGGGATGAGCTCAGTAGTACAGTGCTCTCCTAGAATGTATGCAGCCATGGATTCAAATCCAAGTACCACACACACACTCACACACACAAAATTACCACGAGCTTAGTGACTTGGAACAGCACACATTTATCATCTCTCCAATCTGTGCCCCGGCCTCCAATGTAGGTTTCACTGCACTGAACTCCAGGCATCATCAGGGCTTCATCCCTTCCAGAGGTCCTAGGGGACCCTAGGATGTTGGCAGCAGTTCATTCCCACTGGCTGGAGGACTGGGGTTCCAGTTTCTGGGCTGCCTGTCACCTGAGGGTACTCCCTGCTTCCGGGACCCTCTGGGTTTCTGGGATCCTAAGCTACATGTGGAGGGTCAAGTGAATCTCACACTGCGAGTCTCTAACCAGCTCTGGTCTCCTCCTCTGCTTTCTTGGGACTCATGGAGGCACACTGGGCCTGTGACATAATCCACAGTGATCGCGCCTTTTAAAATTCCTCTCCCTAATCCCATCCTAAAGTTACTTCTCCCACTTGTGGTGACACAGTCATGGGTTCCAGGGATCAGGACCTGGACATATTCATGTAATTATTATTCCACCCACCACGCCCTCTGTAGGAGTCACCAACTTGTCCCTCCCCAGCCCATCCCTCTGCCCCTGGAGCACCTTTGCTGTGAAATCCTGAGCACCTCATGGCTCCGGGAATGTGGCTGTGTCCCCCACCTGGCACTGCTATCTGCTGCTCCTGACTGGAGCTCCCTCTCATCCTCTGGTCACTCGTCCTTCAGGCCCCAGCCGTCCAGTCATTGTCTTTTTAAGTGTGTTCACCTCACTCCCCTCTGTGGGGGGGGGGGCAGGCCTCTCGTGGCCATTGATGTACATGCACATCACAGTACAGGGCCAGCAAACGGTGCTCACCGCACCTCGCAGTATGCAGAGTTGGACCTGACCCTAGGCTAGGGTATTGTGGCTCTCCCTGGGAGAAGCCTCACCGTGTTTGCCCCGAGAGGCGAGTATTTTCATAAAACTTGAAGAATTAAGCTCATCTGAACCGATTTAGTGGTGCAGACCTGTAATTCCCGCTGCCTGGAAAGTTGAGGCAGGAAGACTACAAGTTGGAGGCCACCCTGGACAATTCACCAAGACAAGTGAGGAAGTAAAACTAACTTTCCTAGACTGTTAATAATTAAAACACAAATTTCAATAAAGTATTTTAAAAGGACTAAATTATTTTTCTATTTGCAATATGAAAAATATATGCTCCCAAAGAAAGCCTCCATAAAATCTTTTTTAAAATTCAATTAAGTTGGGGCTGGGGATTTAGCTCAGCGGCATAAGCACCTGCCTTGCAAGCAGGCAGTGGTGAGTTCAATCCCCGGTACCGATAAAAAGGAAAAAGACCAAAAAAAAAAAAAAAAAAATTCAATTAAGTTTATTGGTATAATTCAGGTATATACAATGATCATGTCCATCATAGGGAATTTGTACCTGTACATGACATACTTTGTAAAAATAATTTGCTTTTATTTTTTGAGACAGGGTCTCAGTATATAGTTCACGCTGACCTTAAACTATAGCTCAGGCTGGCCTCGAACTCAGTGATTCTTCTGCCTCAGACTCCCGAGTGCTAGGACTATAGCTCAGCTAAAACTATTTTCCTTACAGATCATAAAAGTAAGAAGCCACAAGTGTGCGTGGTGTATTGCGGTGGGAGGTGATTACAGGAATGTATCAGCACACCCACAAATGTTATTTTTCTGGATTTCCTATTGTAGTATTTGTCAGTCCTTTATTATGCACCCCCCCACATCCCATCTTTTCTTCCCCAGTACTACACTGGGCATTGAACTTGGGGACACACCTTCATTGAGCTCAGCCCTGGGCTTTTTATGTATTTGGTTTGAGATAAACAGCCTTGTTAAGGTGCCTAGGCTGGCCTTGAACTTGTGGTCCTTCTGGTTCAGCTTCCTGAGTGCTCAGGATTTCAGGTGTGCACCACACATCTAGGTGCTTTTGGTTTGGCTGTTTTTTGTTTTGTTTTGTTTTTTGCGTGCTGGGGAAAGAACCCAAGGCCTCACATGTGCTAAGTATAGGCTTACTACTGAACTACACTGTCTAGCTGTGTTCTCACTGTATTTTAATGTACCTCTGCTACTATTTTTGAATTTGTAATGTGTTCTAAAACAGATGTCATAAAGATGCGTGTGCTTCAGGCCCAACTCAACTCAGATCACCTCTAGTGGAAGGGAGGAAAGAGGTAAAGGCCCCTTTGGGGAGGTCATTCTTCTTCTGGGCCTATGGGGACAGGGGTCATTCAGGCATCAGGGCATGTAATGGTTGATTGCCTCAACTTGAAAAGTTCAGAAGCTTAATTAAATCAGTTCAGCAATTCCACTCCCCACAGTGTAGGAGACTCACCCTCAGGTAGCTCAATGCCTGGATGGTACAAGGTAAGTGAGGAAGGCCGGATCTACTTCTGTTCTTCAGAGGAGCTCGGCTTCCTCTTCCCCTTGGACGTCATCTTCTGGCTTCCAGCACACACTTTGGCCTTCCATGGCAGACCCACTGACCTCCTGATACAGACTCAGCAGGACACTGCAGTGAGCTCCAGACCTTGGACTGAATCCTTCGGTCCGGTGTGCAGACGCCCTTTGCACTCTTCCTCCCCCAACTCTGTGGCCGGCATTGTAAGCCTGTTGTTCCTATACATTTGTACACCTTTTAGATTTGTTTCTCTAGTAAAACACTGATACAGGGCAAGTCTGAAGCTGTCTCCATGCTGGGGCTCAGCCACTTGAGCTGAGAGGGGAGTGGAGTCGTGGGAAGGAACCAAGGATCTGGGGACTCAGAGCAGTGACCCACTTTGGGAAGGCCTGGCAGAAGGCAGGGGCAGAAGGAACCAGAGCCAGCTGGTTTTGGTGGCAGAACTGACATCATGAGGTCAGCTTCCCATTAGCCTCTGAGGTGGTGGGAAGAGTGGGTGTCGCAGGGACTGGGGTCCAGGGTTCTTGGTCTCCATCTAGAGTCTCTGGGTTCCCAGCATCATCACTGCCCGCTGTTCCTCCCGGGACCAGCACACCACATGCACACAAGAGCCCGAGACCCTCAGCTGGCACACGAGGCCCTTCACAGATGACTGCTGCCCGCCTTGCAAACGTGACAGAGGACCAAACACAGCCCGCAGCCTTGGCTCTGCCCACGGCCTCCCCCGTGTATCCACAGTCCTCTGCAGAACTCGGAGTGTTGTTGCCTCCTCTGGTGGCCCTTAGTGGACTCCCATTCCTGCCCTACTAGCCCCTCACCAAAAATCCCCATTCCTGAGTGGGCTAGAGAAGGGAAAGTGTGTGCAGGTGGGAGCCTTGGAGAGGGAAGGGCAGTTGATGGAGTGGCCATCTAGGCCCACTGCCCACCCATGCCAGGCACCAAGCCCTCAGTGGGCCCACTAGCTCCAAGCATGGAAAGAGTCACAGGGCCCTGACAGGCCTGGATAGAATAGGGTCTCAGGCCACCTGGCTCCCTGCACCTGGCCATCAGAGACACGTGCATCAGGTCAACTGGATAAAGTCTCCTTTATTTGCACTGCCGAGTGGCCAGGTGCTGCAGGTGTCCCTCTATGTGGGACAGGAGGGCATCCAGCATGTGCAGGACCCTGAGGAGCAGGGTGCGGTCTGAGATTGGGACCTGCCGTCTCGAGGCTCCAGAGGTGCTAGTGCTCACCTGTGGGTGCTGAGAATCAGACGAAGAGATGGGAGTGAGTGGAGGGGGTGGCGGCAGAGCTAGTAGAAGGGTGTAGGGCTACAGGGCAGTGGCCAAGGGCTGGGAAAAGAGACCGGAGATGAGCACTGAGGGCTTGCCGTGGACTAGGGCAGTCACGGGGCCCAGTGGGCTGGATGAGGAACGGGGTTCCAAAGGGTTGCTGGAGGAGGAGGACAGCTATAGGGACTGGTCAGGAATGGACAGCTTGTAGCCGTGAAGACCTGTGGGCAGATGCAGGAACAATAAGGTGCAGGACAGGAAGCGGTCAGGCAGGAGGCCCACAGAGCCGCAGACAAGCTGCTGGGAAGGGCTGGGGGATGCTACGGGCCCAGTGGACTCGAATGGAGGCAGGTACTGAGGACAAGCCATCCGTGCTCCCCACCCGTGGTCACCTGTGAACGCCACCGGTGCAGCATTGGACGACCCATCACCAGCATCATGGTGGTGGTGATCATGGCCCCAGCCACAGGGTAGATGCGGTTCCCTCCCAGGCTTGTCCAGTAGCCAGGACAGCCCAGGGTGCTCCCACAGGCCTCCGGGTTGTTTGGCTCACACCCCCAGGGCTGTAAGTCCAGTTTCAACTGGTACCAGAGGGGCCGTGACCAGGTAAGAGTAGGAGCAGGCTTTGCCAGCAGGAGCAGCCAGGAAAGTAGGGACAATGCCTGCAGCATATCTGTGGCCACTGCTGGAGGCCGGAACCTGGGTGCTTGGCAACGAGCAAACACCCCTCCCCCAAGAGCAGGCTCTGCTCTAAGGCCACAGGTTCCAGCTGGGCCAGGGCCTTCTGAAGGGCCTGCCAGAAAAGAGAATTGGGGGCTGAGTTCCAGAGCTGGGGAAGAATGGCAGGTCACGGTCTTTAGGGAGTGCTTCATTTCTCTTCTGCCTCACCGGTAGCCACCCAGAAACTTAACACAGCACCATGGCCCCTAAAGCCTCTGCTCCGCACAGGGCAGCACCCTCCAGGCCTTACAAGCAGAGGACACCTGAGCTGCTTCACAGGCTGACCCCAGCCCAGCCCCTCTGGACACCCTGAAAAGAATCAGCACTTGGAACAACGGCTCTCCTCACCATCAGCAAAGGGCCAAGGCAGCACATGCGTGGTGGCCAACACTCTGGGGGACTAAGGCACAGGATCTCAGGTTCAGGCTCAGGCTCAGGCCCAGCCTGAACAACTTAGCAGGACCCTGTCTCAAAATTTAAAAATAAAAAGGGCCATAGTGGTACACACCTCTAATTGTATCACTCAGGAGGCTGAAGCAGGAGGACTGCCAGAGTTTAAGACCAGCCTGAAGTACACTGTCTCAAGGGAAAAAAAAAAAAAAAAGTTCTGGACTATAGCTTAGTACAAAGACCCTGGGTCAATCTCTGTTTCCTAAAAAATACACACAAATAAGCCAAGCCTGGAGGTTCCTCCTAGGAAGTCACTTTCTCACAGCTGGCGTTTCCATTCAAGTGTTACTACCTCCCTGAGCCTCTGCCCAGTGACCATGTTGGGCAACAAAGTCCCTTCTCTCCAAAGTGACTCGGCGTTTTTTTTTGTTTTGTTTTGTTTTTTCTGCCTCTGCGATTCCTTGCTTGAGATCTGCCTGCCACTTTGGCCTCCAGGTCTCATTCAACCAATATTTACTGAGCTCCTGTTCCTGGTGCCAAAAAAGCAGTGTGACAGGGCAAAGAGCTCTGAGGTTCTGGCAGGGGTCTAGGTGCTTTATAGATACTGTGCCAGGCACCAGCATAGGCTATGATAAAAATAGGACTGGGAAAGAGTGCCTGGGTGGTGTGGCGGGCAAGGCAGCCTCTGTCTCTACCAGGACTAAGACCAGCATTCAGGACAGGGCCTGGCCCTGCCCAGACAGGATGACAGCAAAGCCCACAGGTTTTGAGCTGATCTGAGCCCTGTGCTGTTCTGAGCATCTCTGGGTGTCTGAGCAGCCAGTGAAGGGAGTGCTGCTGCCGTTCCTCACTGTCTGGAGCATTTGGAGGCCCAGGAAGGTCCCAGCACCACATGTACATCCTCTATCAGCGGCAGATGCTAGATTGGTGGCAGAAGCTAGCATGCTTCCTGGCTGACAGCACTCCGCCCAGCCTAGGGATCTCATTGTAAGCACAGGCGGTCACACTTGTTCTTTCAGAGACCAGGTCTCAAGATGTAGTTCAGGCTGGCCTCCAACTCACCACAATCCTCCTGCCTCTCCCTCCTAAGTGCTGAGATTATAGGTATGTACTACCAAGTCTGACACTCTTATTTACTTTTCTTTTTTTCACCCCTAAAGGGCACTCATTTTAAAAGCAGATCAGTGGCACCAGTAAGCAATTGTTCTTCCTCAGTGGGGTGCTAGGGATCTACTCCACACACCCTGGGACTGCCTAGTGGCACCCACCCCACCATGCTGCCTCCTGTGTATCCCCGACAACAGAAGATTCCTGAGAAGCAGCTGTAACAGCAACAGTCTTCCAGCCAGGATCTGAGTGCTGTCTGTGTGTGGCTGGCTGGAAATCCAAGCCTGGGAATGGCCTTCAAACCCCCTCCCCACCCTTGCTCTGCCATTCTCTGCCTGGCCCTGCTCTGTCCAGATCTCCTCAGCTTCTGTTCCCATCCTCTGCTTGTGTTCTCCCTTCCTGGTCTGCTTCCCTCCTGAGATACGAGAAGGGTCATGGCCAGAGCTGCAGATCACGAGACACCGGGCCAAGCCCCAACCAGCTGCGGCAGTCTGGAATGAGCAGACATGTTTTTATTCTTGAGCCTGAAAATACACACTGGCTCCTCCCTGCACCCAGCCAAAGCCAGCCTGGCTGCAGCACCCTGCCCCGGACCGCAAGCACTGAACGTGGAGTCCCAGGACCTCCATCCCTGAGATATGTGTGCGTGTGCGTGGAGGGGACTCCTGGGGGACTCCTGGAGGTGGCCAGGGTGAGGGCTTCTCGAGGGTGCTCCATCACAACCTCCAAAGGTGGGCAGTGTCGGGCAGCTGGCAGCACAGTCACAGTTTGGTGGCCTGAGTGGGCAGAGGAAGGGAGCCTCCAATCGGTTTCCAAAGGATGTCCCAAGCCGTCCTTCCCCTGCCAGCTGCAATCCCTGCCCCAGGAGCACCCTTATCCACAGGCAGGGTGAGGTGTGGGGGGGGGTGTGCTAATAGGTTCACTGGGAACAGAGCCATCGTCGACGGGACAAACTTCCTGCAGGTAGGGCCAGTACAGGAACACGCAACAGATTAACAAGAAACAGCTCACCGAAACAGGGCTGCTGGGGCCAGGCCTGGAGTGCTGGAGGGCAAAGGTTACAGCATCATGGACGGAGACGAAGAGATGCTGCTTGGTGATAGATGCGTCAAAGAAGTGCCCAGTCTCTAGTTGGGTGATCACAGGACCTGCAGGCGAGATCTCCCCTGACTCTCAGTCCCACTAGGAACCTCAACCCCTGGGCACTCTGGAATGCACAACACCTGTCACCCCTGGGACTATGGCCGGACACCAGTCACTCCTGCCTCCCAGGACACCTCTGGCCTCTGGCTTCTTTCTCTTTGTGCTGCTTGGCAAACTCCCTGGCCAAAAGCATCCCACCCTCTTCCTGGTCTGCTCCTATGGCCCCAGACAACGCACTGTGGCAGGCTGCAATGTACACTTCCACCTCGATCTCACGAAAGTCACGGAAAATCTGCAACAGGAAAGGGGTGAGCTCTGAGGGCAATTGGACAGGCTGGGGAGGAGGTTTAAGGGGGAGCTGGGAGGGTTCAGGGGGTTTGGGAGACTCATGGAGCTCTCAGGGCCAATGACAGGGTCAGAGTGGAGCCTGGAGGGGTGGCCTGCCTGTGGCCCCTTACGTTCTTCAGGCTCTTGATGCACACAGTGTCCACAAAGGAGAGGGCCCCCAGGTCCAGGATGAGAGTGTGGAAGTCCGGCCGAGGCAGGCCGAGGGCCTTCAGCACGGACGCATCCGGGGCCTTGGCATCTTCTTGCCCGCTGACTGCCACATCCTCTAGCTCATTCTCTGGGTTCACCTACAGGGGAGGCAGACATGTAGAAGGGCTGCCCACGAGGGTGCCAAGGCAAGTAGTGCTCACATCTCAGAGGATAGACAGCGTCAGAGACAGGAGCACTTGTGGAACACTGGAACACTCATAATACGGGGTATGTAGAAGCAGATGTGGGGGAACTAGGTATGTATGCAGAAACGGGGGGCAAGCACAGGACATGCAAGAAAGCGCATGTGGACATGTACATACCGCTCTGTCACCTTCAGGGCCTACACTTACTAGGGGCACTAGAAAGGAAGATGTTGCACCCTTGGGGTAGGATGGGCGGGGCCCAGGGACAGAGCAAACAGATTAAGTGTCCATGTGGACAGACGGCCACAGATGACCTGCCTGATCTCCACCTGAGCTCAGCACCCCTCCAACCCTGTACACCCAGGGAGCACAGACTAGGGTCTGTGACACCAGCAAATTCTAGGTCTTCATCTAAGCCTGAGAGCATAGACAAGAGAGCCACAGCACAGCTCTGTACCACTAGGGGTCTCTCACAGCACCTGAGCCATCACTGCTTCCTCCCGCTGTGGGCACAACGCCCTCAAGTCCACGGCCCCCAGGCCCACAGCTTTCCTCTACTGGACATGTGTGCGGCCTGCGTCTCTGTGACTCCCGCTGCGCCTGCTCTCCTGCCCCAGCCTCACCTTAGCCCTGGAGTCCACCGTGCCACTGCCCTTCACGTCTCCAAGGCTGGGGTCCACACTGACGGAAACCGAGGTGCCATTGGGAGGGGCAGCCTAGACAGGCGAAGAGGGGACAGAAAAGAGCTCTCCCATGTGCATCTGACAACATGCCAGGCAGGCCCAAAGTCACTCCTGGTGACTCTGGACAGGTAGTGGCTAGGACTAATGCCACGGGACAGCTGAATGGCTGATGCTGGGAGCAACCATGGACATGAAGGGGATGGGGATGGTTGTGCTGTCACCAGAACAGGAGACAAAAACAATCAAACAGTATGCGGGGTGGAGTCAGGCCAGACCCGGGAGTTACGGGAGAAAGGGGCGGCCAAGCAGTAGGGCTGAGAAGTCAGGAGCCTAGAATCTGGGACAAGGGTGACAGAAGCAGCAGGGTAGGTGCACAGGGAAAAGCAGAGCAAGAGGAAGGGGTCAGAGCAAAGGTCAGCTGGGGTCAACAAAGGCAGTGGGCAGCTGCAGGGAAGGGCCAGCAGTCGGCAGCTGACAGGGGCCCTGCCTGTTTGTCTTTCTGCTGTCGCTTTAGTTTCAGCGCCTGCTTCCTCAGCCGCTTCTTCTTCTGGGCCAGGAGATGGTCGACGTCCACCCCGCACTAGAGGCAAAGGTCAGAGGAGGGAACTGGGCACCGTGGAGACATTAGGGACCCTCGGGCACCCTCTAGGAGACCTGGCCTCACCCTCTGCTTCAGTGCATCACTGTAGAGCTCAGCGTTGGCAAAGTACAAAGTGGCTGAGGACCGAAAGACCTTCACGCCAGGGACCTCCTTGGCCTGGGAACAGGTAGGGCTGGGGGTAGTGAGCAGAGCTGTCCCCTCTGGCATCCTGTCCCTCTGTGTGTCCCCTTCTGCCTCTCCTCCCCGGAGCACCCTGAGCCTGTCATCTCCATCCTCTTCCTGGAGCTTGGGCTAAGAGCCCAGGTCTTTCTGCCTGCCTGGCCCTCTCCCTTCCCCTCCCCCCCACTTTGCTCTCCTGTTAGGGTCTCCAATCTGTCCCGAGGTCTGTTTCTATAGGTGGCAAGACCCCTCTAAGCTGTCATTCCTACCTCACCTTCCCAGACCCCAACGCTTAGGATGCAGCCCAGGACTCTGCTGAAATGCGGCACCCCTCTCTGCCTATGTCCCCTCTCACCCCTCAGACCCCTTGGCCCACCCTTCATCCTGTCTAACCGTCATGCTCTCAGCTGTTGGGACTGTGCCAGAAGAAGGGGCTTACTTTATCCCACAACTTACTCCCTTTGTTTTTGCATTTGACTTCAAAGGAAGCAAACTCAGGACTTAGGAGCCCACTGACCAGATCAAGCACCAGTCTCCCCCACATCTTATGCCCCAGGACCCCAACACCCCATCTTTCTGATCCAGGGCTGCTGCCTCCAAGACTGAGTCTCCCCAGTTCCCCAGACCCATCTCTATCCTCTCTCGTTCTCTCTCTCTCCCTCTCTCTCCCTCTCTGTGTCTTGCCAGCTCCTCCTACCTTGAAATCCTATGGACCAAAGCCAAAGTGCTGTCAGTCTCCAGGGCCCTTGGCACCGTGAAGGGGTTGACAATGACCCACTCTTTCTGTCACACCCCACCCACAGCCTCCCCCCAGCCCCTTGCCGCACACCTCTGAGTATTCCGCCACGTCTCGGTAAATGTCTGTGTCTGGCACCTGCCCCAAGACAGAGTAGCGGGGCCTGCAGAGGAGGGAACACAGGGAGCCAGGGCAGCACACTAAGGAACTGCGAGGACACCTCGGGGAGCCCTGTGGCCCCTCCGCCTCATCAGCTAGAGATGGAAGGAATGAAAGGCCTGACTCACAGCTGCGTTCGGACCACCACGAGCAGCAGGGAGAACACTACCGCAACCACCAGGCCAAGATCCAAGTCCAGCAGGATGGTGGCCACAAAGGTCACGAGCCAGATAAGCTGGAAAGAGAACAGCAGGGGTCAAAGGGTCTAGAGGGGCAATCAGGTGGCTGAAGGCCACCTGTCCACCCTGGGTTCCCAGGCCTCTCACCAGGTCAACTCGATTTGTCTTCCAGAGGGAGCGTATGTCACTGAACTGCTTCAGCATCCCCTTCAGGTTCACAATAATGATGGCTGCCAGAACGGCCTGGGACAGGAAGGGTGTCAGCAGAGCCGATGAGCAGTGCCCAGGTGCTGCCAAGCTCAGCCATCCAGGCGTGATCTGGACTAAGCACTCCAACCTGCACAACTCAGATCTGACTCTGGGGAGCTCTAACTCCTGACCCTGGCTCCAGACTTCACCAAAATTTCAACGCCGAAAACCAGGGCATGGTCTTGTCTCCTTTCCCTCACCTCAGCAACACCAGACAGACTGACCAGAGCGTCTGACTTGGCCAGGCCTTGCAGTCTGGTATACAGGCTCTACTCACCTTGGGCAGTTTTTGGAAGAGTTCTCCAAGCTTGAGGATGATGAGCAGGATGAAGAGGGAAGAGACTGCTCCAGCAACCTGCGGGGTGGGAGTGAACAGAGTGGCAACAGCGGCCATGCAGGGCGCACACACACGTCAACACACTTCTATGCCCGTGCCGGCAGCCCACCTGTGTGTTGCCCCCAGTGGTCTCCTGTACCAGGCTCCGGGACATGGAGCAGCTCACAGGGAAGCACTGGAAGAAGCCTCCGATGAAGTTACTGAGGCCGAGGGCCACCAGCTCCTGTGGGGGAGTATGGATACCGGCACCAGTTGCCATCCCACTATGCCCAGGCAGGTGGGTCATCCCCTCTACCCCCCACCAGCCAAGAGGCTGGGCTGCTATTCCCGCATCAGGCTTTCCCTTTCACTGTCACCACGCCCAGCCTGACCCTCCCTCCTGCAACTGGCTGGCACCTCCGCAGCCGCCCCTGCCCGCTCCACACTGCCAAGACCTGGTTGCTATCCACCCGGTAGCCGTGTCTCAGGGCAAAGATCTTCCCCAGGGAGATGGCGATGGCAAATCCAACCATGGCAATGGCGAAGGCGTTTCCCACCAGCTTTGCAAACAGCTCAGGTTTGGGGGCCACAGGAGCAATCAGCCTGGAAGGAGCATCTGTGAGGCTGAAGGATGGTCCAGACATTTGCTCCCTAATCCATCCCAGTCAGGCAGAGGTGAGAGCTCACCCTGCTGGGATGGAGCCCACGACATCCACATTAAATCTGCTGTCCAGGTTCGCACCATAGGAGATGCCCGTGGCTACAATGAGCTGTGGGAAGAGGATACAGCCAGGGGAAGGAGGGGCCAGTGTTAGCATCAGGGAGACAGACAAGCCATGCTGGAGGAGAAGGGGAAAACCCTGAGGCAAAGTCTTCCAAGGTGACCATGTTCCTTTTATTTATTTATTTATTTATTTATTTTTTAGTCTTCTTGAGACAGTGTTTTGCTATGCATTTCAGGCTGGCCTTGAACTCACTTGTAGCTTAGGCTGGCTACTTGCAGTGATCCTCCTGCCTCAGCCTCCCAAGTGCTGGGATTATAGCCATGCGCCACCACGCTCAGTGTGTAAGGAGTTCTTGAGAGGGGAGAGAGGCACTACCATTTGGGGAAAGATGCTGTCGGAGGGGAAGAAGGCAAACTGTGGGCTTTCTGTTGTGCTTGCCTCAGTACCCAGGAGTCCTCAGTGGAGTTGGCCCTCTGGAATCTAGAGGTTGCCTGCCTGGTCTGGGTCCATCCTCACCTGCCCCTCTCCCCCATCCCCTGAAATGCGAACCGTGAGCAGCTCCCCAGGTATTGGCAGAGGCAGACGCCGATGCAGTTTCTCATTCAGTATCTTCACCATCACAAGGGCCACCCCAGCCACAAGCGCAGTGACCATGGTGCCAATCACAGTATTGGGCAGCTTCTGGCAGATCTCTATGAAAGTCTGAGGAGAGGTGGGGTCACAGCGAGTACTCAGGTCATGGCACACCTCCCCAGCCCCCGGCCACACTCACTCACCTGGATGAGGGACAGGGGCCCTGAGCGGCTGCTCACCTGGATCCCAAACACATACTTGAGCTGTGAGACAAAGACCTGGACAGACGCAGCCGTGGTGTAGCCGCGCACTAGCGGCTCCGACAGGTAGTTGACCACAAAGCCAAACTGCACCAGGCCCAAGGCCACCTAAGGAGTGGCCAGGGACAGTCAAGGTAAGTAGGGATGGCCCAGGACAAATGCAATCAGAAGAGAAAGGTGAAGAGAAAGAGCAGGGGGACAGAGACAGGCACCAGCCCCGGGAATGGGGTGGGGCTCATACCCGAAAGCACCCCGCACCTGGAAGAGGCCCACCAGGACACTAAGTGTGGAGGCCAGCGGCACACGCGCTTCCTCGGTGGAGTTTGTGTTCTGCTGGACAGTCTCATCCACGACCATGGATTCTGTCACACTGCCCACCATCACAGACATGATAGCAAAGGTTCCTGCAGGGGACACAATGGGGCAGACTTTAACACTGTGCTGCCCTGCAGCCCTGGTCTTTTTTTTTCACCAGGAATCAAACTCACAACCTCATGCTTGCCAGGCAGGCACTGTGCCACAGAGCTATATAAGCCCTGGTCTTCAGACAGACCAAGCATCGGTTCTGGATAAAGTTTAGACCATGGCCATGCAAATGGGGGCAGTGCTGGCAGCTAGGGCCAGTGTGAACCCTGAGCTCAGCTCTGACAGGTGGCTAGAAAAGCTGGTCTTACATCATTTACCTTGCTCCCCTGTGCCGATGGGTTCAGAAACACAGGCTCTTTGTGGAATGGGAAATGTGTCACGGCATGCCTCGTACCTATATACTTCTACTAAATTCTACGCCCCCCTAGCTGTCTCACCCACTCACATCAGCTTTCAAGCTCCCTGAATATGAGGTCCTAGGTCAGGATCAAGTCTTGTCCAGGGATAAGCCCCTGCCCTGTCCAGCCCTCCCTCACAGGTGCTCCACGGTAGATATGAGCATCTTCCTGGAAAGCTGGGCCTGACTTCACTTACCCACAGAGATGTGCCGGGAAGTACCAAACAGGAAGTAGATGAACACAGGGTAGAAGGAGCTGTAGAGGCCAAACACGGGGGGCAACCCAGCCAGGAGGGCGTAGGCCAAGCCTGTAGGTGGAATGGGAGCAATGCAGGCTTGGAGGAAAGGGTCTCCAAAGGTAGAGGAAATCCAAGCCCTGGGCCAGGGGCCACAATTCCAAGATCAGAGGTCGTGACTCCGGCCATAGGGCTTCCAGACTAGGGCCTTAAAGGTGGCTCACCCTGTGGAAGCTGCATGATAGCCACACTCAGGCCAGACAACAAGTCACCCAAGAGCCACTCACGCACACGATAGTGGGGTAACCAGCTCAAGACTGGGAGGTATTTGAGTAGAAGGCCATGGGCCCGAGAACGGGAGCACCTGGGGAGAGGAAGGGGATGTGTCAGTGACAGAGGCACCTGCCCCTGCCAGAGCCCCAGATCCCCATCCTTGATCTTACTGAAACCAAGTTCGCCACTGATAGGTCCTAGGTGCTGGGCCCCAGTGCCCCAGCTGCTCCAGCTGTTCCTGGTTCAGCAGAGGCCGTTTCACGTGAAGCTCCATTGTTGATTTGGTAGACAGCAGTGCCTGCGTATCCCTTGGTCTAAGGTGGTGAGACCAAGGAGAGAGAGTGAGATGCCCCTCGTCCTACCTTCCCTACACTTCCACCTGGGACCAGAACCACATGCCTAACTTTTCCAGGCCCCAAGATCGGTCCAGTCCCCTGTGAGCTCCATGCCCAGTTAGAGGCAGTGGCTGAACTTTGGCTAGTGAAGCCCTCTTTCTGAGCCAAAGTCCCTCATGAAGGGAGAGCGGGATGAATACGACCCATATTCATCCAGCCTAGGTGTGGCTGCCCAGCCCCGTGTACCAGTTCGGGGTCAGGTCTAAGTCTAGGTCCAGGCTCTCCACCCCTCCTAGCCCCCTTCTCCTAGTCCCTTGCCCTCCTGGAACCATTCTTGAGTCCTTATCCAGCTGCCCTATGAACCCTGCCTGGCCAGCTGAGAGCATGCTCAATGAGAAAGAATACAGCAAAGCAGAGGGGTAGATCTTCAAGCAATTGTCTCCAAGCTTCAGGTTTGCAGGTGAGAACCTCGCCTCTAAGAGGACAGCTTTGCCCCTGGACTTCCAATGCCAGGGATCAGTCTGTAGACAAGGTGGGGCATAGTCTGGGAAGGCCGAGGGACAGCTCTCTCCCAGGTCACCTCTGAGGAGAAACAGGTCTTTCCTGGAGTGGGAAGTTCCTACCTGAAGTATGCAAAATTCTCTCCTGGGAAAAGTCTCACCTAGAGGCAATTCTGACCTGACAGGAAAGCCTTCCCCATCCAGGAAGGAGCAGAAGAGAGAAATCTCTGACCTGGGGTGAATCTCATGGCCCAGAGGTCCTCTCTGAAGCAGGAGAAACTTCTGGGAACAGGAGATTGGGGAAGGAGAATGGCCCTTTTTTGGGAGGACTGGGGGAAGCGTTGAGAAGGGGGGACAAAGCCTTCGCTGGCAGCAGATTTCACGGGGGTGGGGTGTCTTTTGGAGGACCAGGGACTCTTGAATGTAGAGAACGCTTTCTCCGGACAGGGGAATTCTGATCTGGGAGAAACTCTGCCAGAGAGAGGACTCCACCCGGGAGTTAGGCGCTCACCTGGGAACGGTCTCTAACCTGGAGGGGGAGCAAGTGCGAGGAAGCCCCGCGTGTTCTCAGCACCGCGGCGTCCCAGGGATCTGACAGCCACTCTGCTCCAGAGCCATCCAGGTCTTCTAAGGACTCCCTCCCGCCCCAGAGGGACACGCGCCGGGGGCGGAGCCGGCCCGCCTCCAGGGCGGGGCTTCCGGCAGGCCCGCCGCGGTCCGGAGCAGCCAGGCACGCCTCGGCCGGCCGCCGCCCGCCGCCTGCATCATGGGTCGGGGTTCCGGCGCAGCCAGCTTCCGCCCCATCCCTCCGCGCGGACGAGCCGCACCCGCAGGAGCCGGCGGGCGGCCAGCCGAGGGCGCTGCGGGGCACCGGGCCCGGATGGCCTGCACTCACCCCGACTCGTCCGGTGGCCCCATGGCGCCCACGGAGAGAGACCCTCGCTTGGAGCCCGACGGAACCCGCGATGCGCTCCCGTGCCAATCCCGGGGCCGGGGAAAGGCCCGGACCAACCCGAGTGTGAGGCCGGCCCGCGTCACGGTCTCCGGCGGGGCGAGCCTGGCAAGGGAGATTTAACCCCTTCCCTCCCGAGGCCCTGCACTCGCAGCCCCGCGGCTCGCTTAGCCCCTGCTGGGGCGGAACGGGACTGCAGCGCTGGGACCAGGAGCGCGCCCGCAATGGGCTGCACGGGACCGGGTTCTAGCCCAGGCTTCGGGAACGGCGCCTGCGCAGCAACAACTCTGGGGTCGGTGTCATAGGTGAACAGGCAGGAACAGCGAGGGCGGCAGCCGTGAGGACTGATCTGACTCCTGTGCTGGGAAGGAAACTGCAGACCAGGCCTGCAGCGTCTGAGTCCTAAGGAGTCTGCATGCTGCTGCTGCTGCTGGCCTGGGAGGCGGGGCCGGAGCACTCTGCTCCCAGCCCCCAGGCCCAACCGCGGTGAGGGGCCAGATTTCAGAGTGAGAGGGGAAGCTGGTCCAGATACTCAGTGCAGTGGGCCAAAAATAACTAGAAGTTCTTGAAAGCAGAGGACTCGAATTCCTCCCAAAGGTCGGTCACAGTCACCGACCTTCCACGGCCTCACAGAAAGAAACAACATCCATTTTCTATAGAAGTTTATTCCCAAAACAGAGCGCGGCTTCACGGAACGATTTATACAGACAGGAAAGAAGGGGCATGGGCTGGGCTGGGGTGGGGGGGTGGCCCCAGAGAGAGGCTTCTATAGCATCTAAAAGATAAGAAGGGTGCTCTCCTACCCACAGCCCTTCAGGTTAGGGTCATTCTGGGTAAGGAGAGCTGGAGTCCTAGCTGGTGGGATCTGGCACCAGTCAGTGAAATAGAATTTTTAATCTCCTTGGAAACTGCTTCCCAAAGTCTGCATGGGATACAGGTACCTGCATCCTACACAACCACTGCTCCTAGAGGCAAGAGGACTCACAGGCCTCCTGGGTTTGCTCTTAAACGGGGGACTCAGGGCTGACCTCTGGCCCGGGAGAGCTGGGGTTAGAAACCCCTCAAAACAGCCAGGGCCAGGCTGGATCTGCTAAGCCCCCTTTCCCACTTTTGCTACCTTAAACAAAGGGAAAAAATATGCTCAACTGTAAACAAAGTGTAAAAGTTCAAAGTTTTAAGTTGTAAACAAAGTATAACATTTTAAAATATCTCTACCTGTAAACAAAGTAACAAAAATCTAAAGTCTCCAGTTCCTAACTTCAGAGTAAGGAAAGTAAGAGTTTTGTGAACAGGGTCCTAACAGTCTTTCTTCCCTTAACAAGGGAATAAAGGGGGAGGGGAAGCAGTCATTTCTGCAGCCCAGGTGCCTCGGGCCAGGCAGGATCCTGTAAACACACGGGAGAGTGGTGGCACCTACATTCGGGGTCTTGGATTCTCTTATTTCTGCTCCCTTTGCTCACCCACTTGCCCACCCTTGGGGGAAGTGTCAGGGAATCAAATGGCACCACAGGCTTTCTGCTCAGGCAAGGGCAGGCCAGGGACCCCTGCAGGAGTGTGAGTAGATGCCCGAGCCTCCCCAAGGAAGCCTTGTTCTGTAAACATGACCTCTGCTGCTCTGCCAGCACCCACAGCATCAGTCCCAGGTATAAGGCAGCATGTGGCAGGGACTCCCCATAACACACAGGCATCCACAGGGAGGAGGGGGTGAACAAGCCCCTGTGAGGGATCAGAAGACCCCTGTGTCCAAGATCCACCCACAGTCCCACACTTTCTGCAGGGCATTCGAGAAACCAAAGATCCATTCTGTACTTTGAGCCCTGACAACCTTCAGCTCTACTTAGGGGTGGGGTGGGATAAGGGGGAGCATGTGTCCCACCTGTTGGCTCCACCTTAGTAAGATGAGAGAAAACATCTGCAGCTCTCTCCCTCTGTCCCCTTCTCCCTCCCAGCCCAGCCTCAGACCCTCCCCACACAACAAAAAAGCTGAAAAATAACATAAGCATATTTCTCTGGTTACAAAGATACAAAAGGTATAAAAGTCCTCCCTTTAATCCCCACCCCGGCACCTGTTACATGCATGCTCACAGATGTGCATGGAACCTCCTCGCAGCAGTAGAGAGCCAAGGAGGGCTCCCAGGAAGCAGTTCTGGGCTCCGCCTGTGACTGGTAGCATCTCTTCAGTCAGCCCAAGTCTTCCATTACCCTGCAGCTCCTCCTCATCTGCACTTCTGGCCCTCAGGAGTGACCCTCACTTCTGGGAACTCTGTAGTGTTGAACGTGGAAATCCAAGGTCATCGCCAAGATCACCCTGACTCAGGCGGCTCTGGGCTTCTGCACCAGACCTGGCCTGCTCCACCTCTTAAGACCCCTCATGCCCACTCCAGGGCTCTAAATCTTCCACCCATTCTGGGCCCCAGACTCATCAGCAAGGCTTTGGGCACCTGATGTCTTTTCTCCAGACACTTTTAAACACACCTCAGAGTTTGCCACTATACCCCTTCTATAGATGGAGAAATACAGGTGCAGAGGCTAGTACTCTACCAAAAGCATACAGCTAGTGAGGGGACAGACAGCTCAAACTCAGACCTGTGTGACTGTAGCTTGAACCCCTGCCCAGTCCCCATCCCTCTTCCCACACAGCCAGACCCCAAACCAGGCAGCACAGGGACTCTGTCCCTCACCATTCCACCAGGGCCTTAAACCCTTGCCACTCCTCCCTTCCTTCATTCTCTCAACACTGGGCTTTGCACCGTTCTGCTGGTCCCTTACCCTGCCCCGGAGCCCTCCCACCCTACATACATTTACCCCTCCCAGTCTGACCTAAGCTGTTTCTCCTGCCTGAAATCCAGCTCTCCTATTGGTTTACAAGACCTGGGCAACTCTTGATTCTACCTCCTCCCAAGTCCCAGCATTCCTTCTTAGAGTCCTGTATATGCAGCTACTTACAGGGGTCTGCCTAAGTCAGGCCCCAACTCAGTGCTCCTCCCACAGTGTCCAAGGGCAGGAGCAATGAATGGATTACTCTCAAAGTCAGCTCTTCATCCTGGTATCTCCCAATCACTTAGGCAGACTCCTAAGCATCCCTCCTTGCTCCTGTCTTGCTTTTGCAAATACCCAAGTCTAGCCTTAACTCCTGTCCTGTCTCCCTCACTAGCTCCAGCCTTTTGGAAAGCCATTTATCTCCCCTCCTTGTCTGGGAGGTATGGAAAAGGGAGGTTGGTCCCAGTCACACAGTTGGAAAGTTCCTGCTGGTCACATTTCCCTGCCAGATTTCTGTCTCCAGCCTGGGGTAGCTGACACCTGTCTGCCAATGCCCCTCATCTTGTGGTGGAACTGGAGGTAGGGTATACAGAAGGGTTCCCTAAGTCGATGATGGCCCTGCTTACTCTGAATCCGGTGACAGTTCTGAGATGCTATGAGATGTGGCAGAGCGAGGTGTGGAAGGCCCAAGGGCAGAGGCAGTGGCAGACGGAGTGGCAGTGGTGTGAGGACCCGAGGGTGTGCTTGAGGACTGCACGGAGGACAGGGCTGAGGAGTTAAAAGAGGCAAGGATGGAAGAAAGAATGTCCAGCTGCTCTGTGGAGGGGCCATGGCTGGGGTCACTGGCAGGATCCTCCCTTGCTCTGAGCAGCAGGGGGGGTGGCCCAAGGGCCTCTTGTGAGGGGAGCTGATTAGGTCCCTGGTCCATATGCTCCCGAGAGTTCAAGCTCCTAGACAGAGAGTCCAGGGGCCGGGATGGCAAGAGGGGGTCCCTTGAGAGCTGCCGCTGGGAAGACAGGGGCAGAGGTGGGTGCTGGGGGTCAAGGTCCCGGGTGCGGCGGGCAGGGGGCAGTGTGTTCAGCCACTCTCGTGGTGCCCCTAAGTCCAGCGTGTCCCGAGACCCAAAGCGGCCACTCATGACACCGGGGTAGTCCCGGGGTGGCTGCCTCCGTGGCAGGGTGCTGCCCCGATCTCTGGGCTCTTGGCGGTCTGGTGCAGCATCCAGGCATTCCTGGGACCCTGGCCGGTTCAGGGGGTGCAGAACAGGGGCAGGGAGCTCCTCCAGCTGCTCCCGGCTCAGCTGCCGCCGCAAGAGCACATTCAACTGTTCTCGAGAAGAGTAGCGACTGGCTGGCTGTGAAAGGCTGCCTGTGCCCCCACCAGCGTAGATACGACCATAAGAGGCAGCTGGCACAGCACGGTGACCCAAGGTGGCTGCACGGCACCAAGACAGCTCAGGAGCACCTCGGGTTGGTGGCACCAAAGGGTACTGCAATCGGTTCTTCAGGATGCCTATGGGAGGAACAAAGTGAGGGGCAGGGTGGGGTCAGGGCAGGCAGAACTTCCCTGGGTCTAGGGATGTCCCTACAATGCCTGTCACTGAATTGGGAGTAGAAACCCATCAGGGAGGGGCAGAGGCAGCCCCAGGTATAGGACTGGGGACATATCTCCTGGGGCACCTCCTGCCCGGGTCTTGGGAAGCCAGGCTTGGGTCAAAAGGGCAGGAATCACCAGGGTTGGAAGAGGAACAGTGCACAGGGTCTCTGTGATGAAAGCTAAAGGCAGAAACGCTCATGTTAGTTCAGGGTGACTTCTGGGGTTGCTGTAGAGGGGGGACAGGGACAGGAGTGGCAGATCAGAGCAGACTGGGAATGGGAACGGGGAAGAAGCTGAGGCAGGTGTTATTCTTGGGGTCCCTGTGCTGCAGGCCAGTGCACTAGGAGGGCACTCCTTGGGTCAGGATGGGGACAGGGTAAGGAAGCAGAAACCTCCCAGATTAGAGCCGCAACTCTCAGTTTGGGGTCAGGAAGGCGAGACACCTGGGTCAGCACACAGGCTTCCTGCAGTGTTGACTGATGGTCAGTGCTCGTACCTTTCCTTTGGCACTGGGCACGACCCAAGGAGGTTTCATCCCCACTGGTCAGGGCCAGATCAGGCTGGTTGTTGTTGGCTGCGTCTTTGCTGGTGTCCAGCCCCAGACGCCTTTCAGAGCCCCATGTCTGCAGAGCACAGGGTCCTGCTTCGCACTCCCCCAGAGCTGGCCAGTAGGACAGGAGGTCATTGCCATCCACATCTGTGGAGTCATGTGAGGTTACAGTAGCCTCTGACTTGACACCAGAGCCTGTGACCCTTGTGACCTAGATTCAGAGTCTCCCAACCCTCACAATGCTTCAGATTCTGGCTGCTGTCACTAAGTAAAAGTAGGAACACGAGTGTGTCTCCTCCAAGACCATCCAGGAAGGGATTACTGGACAAGGCCCCAGCCTTAACTATAAGTGAACAGAGACTGGAGATGCAGGAGTGTGATGGCTGATGTTTAGGATGACCAGGATGAACTCCAACCCAAGGAAGCCAAACAGCCAAAGGGAAGAGGACATGTCCCTCTGTAACCTCTCTGACCTCATCACTGTGTTGGCTCAGTCTCTTCCTGGGTCCCCTAAGCACAATGAAGGTTCAAAAGAGTGGGCACATGGGTTCCCAAGGATGACCCCAAAGGTCCCTAATGGAGCCTACAGAGATGGCAGGGTCCTTGCATCAGATCTCAGTGGAACACAAGGTGTCCTTTGGTTACCCTGGGGGTCAGAGGGCACCCATTACCTTTGGGATGAGTGAGGAGCCTTTCACTCTGAGCTGCTCGGCAGAGAGGACGCTGGAAACGCCCTCGTGCGCGGCCATTGTCTTCACTTTCTGAAGATGGAATGGATAGACTTCTCTCCTCCTCCAAGGAGAGGTCACTGTCAGAGTCAGAGTCTGCACCTAGAGTTGGGAAGGTCACAGAGCTTAGAGAGGCAAAGGCCACAGGGATACAGAAAGGGTCTAAAACTGAGGGAAGGGAGGTTGGGTGGGGACCTGGGTGGGGTGTGGAGTGCAAATAGGAGCCAAAGGGCTGGGCTTCTCAGCAGTGGGGGGCTGGGTGGGTAGGTGCCCCTGAGGCAGTGACCTGGAAGGAGCTTGTTCCATTCCAGTTACACACTGCTCCCTATTTGGGGCAAAAGAAAGGGGAACCAGAGAGGGACCCTCTGCCTTCCTCCTCCCTGACCCAGGGCTCCGACTCCACCAGCATCACGATGGAACATGGCCACATCCAGGTCAGTGGGGCCAGCATGAGCCTGGAGACTGTGTTCAGTGTGGTCAGCAGCCGAGCCGTGTCGAACCAGGACATTGTCCCTGAAATACAGAAGTCCCCACCAAAGCGGCTGTGATTGTAACCCTGCGGTACAGGCTGACATGTCTTGGAGTGTACCAGCAGGGCTGTAGGGCCTGAGCTACATGGAGCCAGTCTTAGAGTATGGTGATAGCAAGTCCTGGTGAAGAAGGACTGGACTAAACACGCCACCTGCAACCACTCACCTGAGGTAGCTGCGGCCCCGCTGGCTGTCCTGGTCCTGGGTCCGGCCGGAGCGAGCACTGCTCACAGAGGAGACAGTGGAGGCACCGAGAGTGATGCGAATGAGGCCGCTCTCTTCGAAGAGAGCTGTGTTGTTGTAGGCCCCAGGCCCCTGGGGAAGCCAGCAGGATGGGTCTGTGAGCCTGTGGCCTGGGCATCCCAGGGCCCCGCCCCAGCTCCCTGGCCTTGCAGCCCCTCACCGTCCCAGGGGCTGGTCTTGTCTCCTCAGGGGCTGCCTTCCTGCCCAGACAGGCTGGTGTCCAGGCGGCCCGAGCATCTGCATTCAGGACACAGAAGAGCAGCAGCACTGCCAGGCCCTGTGGATCATCACGGGTCAGTGTGGCATCAGGGAAGATCACTTAGAGATCAGAAGAGGCAGAGAAGGTCAGCATAGGGCCCCTGGGAGTCAGTCAGGGCCCATGGAGGCCCGCAGCCACTGCAGATGAGTGTGAGTCAGTGAGGAGTCCGAGTGGGACAGGAAGGGAGTCAGGAGCCAGGTATGGTGGTGCACACTCAGAATCCCAGCACCCTGACAGGCTGAGACACAGGGTCAGAAATCTGAGCCCATCCTGATCAACTTAGCTACTTGGCAAGATCCTGTCTCAAAATAAAAAATTTAAAAAGGGCTGGGAATCTTTTGTGTGTGTGTCTTTTTGAGACAGGGTTTCGATATATGCAGTTCAGGCTGGCCTTGGGCTCACTTTGTAGCCAAGGCTGGTCTTCAACTTGCAACAATCCTCCTGTCTCAGCCTCCTGAGTGCTAGGATTACAGGAATGTGCCACCATGCCCGGTTAGGGTTGGGAATTTAGCCCAGTATAAAAGAGGCCCTGCCAGGTGTGGTGGTGCATGCCTGTACTTCCAGCACTGGGGAGGCTGAGGCAGGAGGATCACTGCAAGTTCAAGATCAGCCTGGGCTACAAAGTGAGCCTAGGCCAGTCTGAATTGCATAGCAAGACCCTGTCTCAAAAAGACAAAAATAAAATACAATACAATAAAGAGGCCTAGAGCTCAGTCCCTAGTAATGGAAAAAGAAAATAACCAAAGGGGAGTCAGGGAGGTCCAGGCAAGTTAGCAGGGGCAGGAGTGGATGGAGTCAGTGACAGTCTGCAGCTCAGTAAGGAACCAGGAGCCACCAGCACACAGCCCACCGAGACAGGGTCCAGTTGAGAGTCAGCTCCAGGCCTGGGGTCAGCTAAGGCCACTGCCTGGTCTGGAATTAGCAGCCAGCCTGGTAATGCCCTTCACAGGACTGGAACTAGCCACCCCGGGCAGGGACAGAGGGAGCATAGGAAAGGGTGCCAGAGGTACCTGGAGGCCACAGAGTCCAGCGTGGAGGTAGTGGAAGGCCAGGATACTGTGGTTGACGGCCAGCAGGCCAAAGAGCCAGGAGGCACTGACCAGCAGCAGCAGCAGAAAGGAACTGCGAAGGGTCCTGCTGAGAGGACATGGGAGGACACTGGAGGACACACGAGGGTCAGGCAGGGCTCACATAGGGCACATGGGAGGACACAGCTCACATATATGAGAAGGTGGAGGTCTCAGGAAGTCACTAGGGAGATGGGCAGTCACATAAAGACCCAGGAATACACTCAGGAAGCAGAAGAGGACATGGGGAACACAAAGGAGTAGAGAGGCCATGAAAGGACACACAGAAGATAGGCAGGGACACATGGGGCAGGGGGCAAAGTGAGCCACCCAGGCTACAGGAGACTGGGGAAACCTAGGGGACAAGGAGACAGTAGAGCGGGAGTATGTATAGGGCCAGAGTACAGCAAGGACACCAGAGAGGAGCGATGGGCCAGGGCTGAGGTAACTTCATCCCTTCCTCCAGCCTTCTTTAGGGGTGCTCTGGGTGCCCCGGAACACAACTAGGATGGGTCTACCCTCCTGGGAACCCCCCAACCCACATCCCCTCCCCCAGCCAGCAAACTCACAGCACAGGGGTCTTCTTGGCCTCCCTCTGCCCAGTGGAGCAGGACGTGCGGGCAGCAAGGAGAAACATGGTCCCATTCATCTAGACCCATGGCAAATGTGGAGCCGGGTGGGGCAGCACAAGACAGCCAGAGACAGATGGAGACAGAGTCAGAGAGACCAAGGCTATTTAGAGGCAAAAACCAGTGAGGCGTTCTCCTCCCCCACACAACACCCCCACTCCCCTGAAACAGAAGTTTGGAACCACAGGAATAGTCAGAACCAGAGAGTAAAGCAGAGTCACAGAGGTGGGGAAGTAGCTGTAACTCTGACCTGTGCCCCTGTCTCCATACCAGCTGAGCAGCAAGGGGTCACTCTGTGACCAGACAACAGAGGTGGAGGGAGCTCCACAAGCCTGTGGACCTTCAGCGATCACCACCACGATTGCTCCAAGCCTTTCTCTCCCCCACCAGCAGGAAGCACATAGGTAGCACCACGTGGCCAGCACTCACCACTATCACAAGAACAACAGGGCTGGCAAAACTCCAGATGAGGGGATCGTGGATGGAGATCCAGCAGAAGTCAGGGTTCCCGTAGCCCTCGGGGTCCAGGCCAACAGCAAGGCCTTGGGAGAGAAGGGCTAGAGCTACTGAGCCACATGCATGGGGAGCAGCTGGGAGTGAAGGTGAGCAGGCTCCTCCCCAAGCAGATGGCTCAGAAAGTTGAAGGTGGGAGTGGTAAGCAGGAGTAGGGACACAGTCAGGAGTCAGGCCATGGGGTGCACAGAGGGTGGGAATCACAGCCCTGAATGGGCCAGTGAGTGGGGCCTCACCCAGCAGCACAGCAGGGACGCCCCAGCCCAGGGCATGGTAGAAGCGCATGGCACCGCGGTCCACATTGCGCGGCTCAACCTGCATGCGGTACAGGTGCAGGCCCTGCACCAGGAGCCACGCAAAGGTGCTGAGGAAGAAGTAGTGCAGGAGGATGGCGACCACAGTGCACACCAGCTGAAGGCAGGGTAGCAGCGTGTCAGGTCCTTTCCACCTTCACCCCACCTCTGACCCCGCACCAAGCAAACGCTCCCCACCTAACACTTAAACCACATCATCTTACTCCAGCATCCTGCGCCAAACCCTTGCCCAATCTGAGGACCCCTACCCCGGGCCCTGAGCTTTGGTCCAAGACCTTTCCAGGCAAGTGTGGTCATCAGTACAGAGATGGCTCGGCCCTGGCCCTGTACCTGATTGTGGGTCCTGTGAATCCCCAAGAGGAAAAGCAGCTCTGCCACCCCCAGAGTGGCTGCCACATTGGCATGGATCCCACGCACGTTGGACTTGAGGCTGCGCAGACTCAGGAGGACCACTGCCGTCAGTACCAAGGCAGCTACAGACACTGCCATGGCCACATGGGTGAACATGGCCAGCAGTTCCAGGTCGCCCTCCAGCCGCTGTGTAGACAGAGATGGTCAGTGGTGTGTCAGGCATAAGCTTCCTTCAGCCTCACATTTTCTCAGTATAATGAATACAGACATACCTCCCGGGGGGAGGCATCCATCAGGACCCCGAAAGTGCCCGTCCGGCTGCAGCGACACCAAGCATGGGACCCATTCCTGTGCACCAGCTCACAGTCCCGTGCAGTCCACATCCCATGCTGGTCCTCCCTGCAGCCACAGGACAGTTAGCCCCACCTGCCCATGGGGGAGCAGGAGATGGCAGGAGGGGCTACAGGAGCCCGGAGATGGGAAGTATCATTTCTCATGGGTTGAGCTGCATAGCAGCACAGGCTGAGGCCTTGGGGTGAGTGGGGGCTCTCAGTGAGCTTTCCAGAGGCTCAAGGGAACAAAGAGTTTCCTTACGGGCCAGGAGGGTCCCACTGCACACAGATCGCCTTGCTCCGGTTCGCTGTCTGTAGCAGGTGAAACTCAAGGCTGATTGGGGGCTCCAGGACACCGCTTAAGAAGTTATGTCCATGAAACACAGCCACGCTGACCACCGGGGAGTTCATAACAGGGTTCTGGGGCAGCCTGAGGAGACACCCATCTGGATTTGGATGCCGCTGGCCTCCCTAATCTCTGAGAGCCCGCCTGCCTCACCCTGCCTCTGTATCGCTTGCCACAGCTGACCCAGGCCCCGGGGTATCCCGGAGCAGTGCTATTTCTGAGAATGCCCTGAGTCTCTGCTGGTGCCAGAAGGTGCAGCCTCCCTGTCCAGCCTGGGGTCAGAGGCCTGAAGGGCTCCACTGTCTATGACTGCTGACCTCAAACATCCCCTTTCCTACTCCTATCTGACATGCATCAGTTTCTTGGTCTACTGACAAGTCAGTCTGTCTGTATCTGACTCCTGTACCCCTCCGTGTTTAATGGTCCCACCTGTGGTGTAGTGACTGTCAGCCTGCACCTGAGCTACTCTGTACAGTTCCAGAAAGCATTCACTTGGAGTCCGGCTTGCACAGGTTCCCTGGAGCTGTGCACAGCACCTAATCATCTGCCCACCAGGAATGGAGGTGCCAGCTAGACAGAATCTCAGGAGAAGCCCACGAGGGAGGGGCCTGGGAATACCTGGTGCCTCGGCGCTCAGCCTGGAACTGGGCAGGGAGAAGACCCCCCAGGGTGCGATACACAAGGAGAACGACAATGGACAGTGAAGATTCGGGCTGCAGCTCTGGGGGTGCTGGTGGAGGTGATGCACTGGAGGAGGTAGAGTTTTCCATGCTGCTGCCTGTGGGCAGAACTGCCAGGGAGGGGAGGAGCACTGTCAGTGACCTCTGACCCTAAGCACCCACACACCTAGCTCTGGAATCGAGCTTCTCTAAGAACTGAAGAGTAGGGTGAGCAGGGGCCCCAGGAGGGGACACTCAAAGCCTGGGAAGAGGGTCTGGCAAGTAAGGGTATGGTGAGGTGAGGTGCTGGGGGAGAATTGGCAAGAGCGTATCTGGTGTCATATCTGGCTTGGGAGGAACAGGGAGACAGGACCTGACCTGAGGTCACCCAAAGGCTCTCACCTTCAGACAAGGATGGCCGTGGAGACTGGGAAGGCAACAGAACATGAGTGTGAGGATCCCAGGCATCCTGACCCCGAAAAAGATTGCTGTGGTAGCGAGGATAGCGATGGGCTGCTGGGGTGCTGGGGTGCTGCATACGGTCAATACTGAGCACTGCCCCAGGGAAAGAAAAGTGACACCCATCAAGAACCGCTCTCCACACTGGAAGTCCCATTCCCAGCTACCCCCACCCTGCACCCAACTGTCACTGTGCTCACTGCCAGTGCAGTGCCTGAGGGCAGCAGCACAGGCCTCTATAGCAGCAGCATACCCCTGTATCTCCAGGTCCTCCTGCAGCCCCAACCCTGCCCTGGACCACCCATCACGCACTGATATTGGGTGTCACTAGCCCCACAGGGTTCAGGTATGTGAGCTCCATATTTCTTGCAAGTGTAGCTGCATATTCCTCTAGATGCTGCACCAGCCTCGTGCTGCCTGGGGAACCCCCAGGGGCCCGCTGTCCAAGTGCTGCCCACAAGTCCCCTGTCTCTGGAGCAAGTAGTGCAGAGCTGGCCCACAGCAGATTCTGGGAGGATGGAGATAGAATTTTGCTCAGCCCAGAGAGGAACATGCATAAAGGTATAGTGCAGGCAGGAGGGGTCTGGCCAGGTACTCAGAGGGCACCCAACCAGCAAGAGGATAGGGATAGAGGCTACAGGAAATGGAAAAGCCCAGGACTGAGACTGGGAGGGATCTAAGCTGGAGACTCAGGGCTAGGCATAGGGCTGGGAGTCAGGGCCAGGGGCTTGGGCACACTGGCACAGCCTACCTCATTGAAATGGGCATCCTGTGTAGCTGTCAGCCCAAAGCCCTGCTGATGGTTCTCAAACGCCAGCAGGTAGGCCAGCAGGCGGGCAGTGACTCGAACATCTTGACTGAAGTAGTATTCGTTGTGGGCAGTCACCTCCCGCAGCCGCTGGGCCAGCTTTTTGGCCTCCACAGTGTCCAGTGCAGTCTTGTTCTGCTCTAGGCCATCCAGCTGCCAGGACAAAGATGGTAGTAGTTACCTGGTGGCCCCATAGGCCTTTCTCAAAAGCCTTAAAGGGAGAAAGACTTAGCCAGCTTAAAAGGCAATCAGGAAAAGTCTGGTTGTCAGGGTTAGGTATGCTATTTGGGGCCCACAACAGGTGTGGGGATGCTAAGGCCAGCGAAGATTGTGGGTACAGGTCAAGGACTGGGCAGTCTCACCAGCACACTGAGCTCTCGAAAGGTAGGGGAGGTACAGTTGAAAAGGTCAGGTTCCAGCCAACCCTGGTCCTCGTCACAGAGTCGCACAGCAGCACCTAGGAGCAGGCAACCCCTGGTCAGGCCCGGAGCCTGGATACCCCTGCTGATGAGTGACCACAGCATCCTCTCCTATCCCAGGAGAAGCCTGAAGTGAAGGCCGGGTGACAGATGTCCACGGCTATACTCCTGGTTGTGTGTCTGAGCCCAGCCGGCTCTGTGATGATCCATTCTCACCACCAAGCACACACTCAGGAATGAGTGTACAGACACATACACTCACGTCACACATGCCAATGCACACAGCTATACACACAGGGATGCACAGCCACACAACGCCATCTCATTCGCACACAAACACTCTGCTAGACAAGGTCTTCCACAAGTGCTGTGTGGCCCCGAGTAAGGCAGGGGTCAATTCTCACCTAAGTTTTAACTGCCTCAGTTATTATTTTGTTGTCACTGCTCTCTTCTGTCCATGAAGTTGGGACAGAGTTGAAAGAGAATTGATGGCTTTAAGAGAGCTTATAGCCACAAAGAAGAGGGAACTAACTTAAATACAGAACCCCATTCCCTCAAGACAGACTCCCAAACACATGCATAGGCAAGAAAGACACACACATGGGCATGCACACACAGGCATTCTCCGTCAGCCACTGCAAAGACCTCAGGCAGCAGGGAGAGAGGTCTACGGGGCCCATAGGCAGCAGGGCAAGTTAAGGAGTCCTCAGGCAAAGAAGGGTCTTTGTGATCTCAGTCAGTAGGGAGAGGCCTTTGGAAAACTCAGAAAGTAGGGGAAATCTTGCAGGAATCTCAGGAATTGGGGTAAGTTCTGCAGGTTTCAATAAGTATGGAAGGACCACAGGGTGTCAAGCCTCTGAGAAAGGCCTCTGGAGTCCTCAGACAGCTGAAAGGGGCCTCCAGGGACTTTAGGCAGCTGAGAGTCTATTTTAGGGAGGTGTCTGCAGGGACTTCCAGAAGCAGGAGGGATCTGCAAAAGCTCTGGCAATGGAAGGAGGCAATGCACCTGAGCAAACATGTACCCCTTACCTGTACCCCGCAATCCTGCCCAGAAGCCAAGAGAAACAGATGGAGGCTTAATGAGGGTGTAGGGAGAGATAAAGAGACCCAGATCCCCTAGGAGGCAGTGAGGGACCCACAAACACTCCCACTCCCCCTTCGTTACAGGTACAAAGCCACCCAACTTTGGGAAAAGAGGTAGCTCCAGCAGTCAAAAAACTGGTCCCACCCCACCCTCAGTGGTGTCCCTGCACCCCACAGACTCACCTTGGGCCCCCCGGGGACAGGGCACTGTGGCCAAAACACCAAACTTGGTCTGAGGCCACCACACACCAGATTTCAGGGACTTGGGGCAGGCATCGTAGAGCACTAGAGGGAGGGGGGACACTAAGCCAAGTGGCCAGGCAAGTGATGGTGATCTCTGCTGCCCCTGTTACTCACCACAGGCCCCCTGCCTACTGCTCCCTGGCTTGCTGCTCAGAATCTGGCCTGTACTTGGGAGTAACTGTGGAATGCTCTGTGAATAACTGATCCCCTTAAGGAAAAGCCTCCCTAAGCCCTTCCCTCCACCCCAGAAGCAAAGTGTCCCTTCCCAGTGACCATTCAGTGGTTGGCCTTTTTTATTATCCACCAGTCTCACGTTCATTCTATCGAACCAGCCCTTTCGAGAAGTTGGGTGGAGCCTGCTCACCTTGGCAGCCGTTGGCTGTCACCTCTGCAAAGGGACTATCGCAGCTGTTACACTGGCGGCCAAGGGCTCCTGGGCGGCAGGGACACTGCCCGCTGTGAGGTGCACATGAGCGCGAGGTGGAGCCCACGGGGTAGCAGTCACAAGGAAGGCACGAGTCACTGCCCCGTGGTCGGTAGTGGAACTCCTGTTCAAGGATGGGTCAGGGGCCTGAAGTCAGAGGTCAGGATTTAAGGTAAGGGTCTCAGGTGAAGGCTGGGGAGCAGATGGAGTCAAGGAAAAAGGGTAAAGAGAAAGGAGGGAAGGGCCAAAGGAAAGACAGGCCTCAAATAAAGTCAGAGAAGGGGTCAGGGATCAGAGATGAGAGATCACACCTGGGTCACAGGACACAGGTAAGAAGGTAGAGCCCACGTCAGACAGCAGAAATCAGCAGAGACTAGCAAGAGTCATAAATGACATCTGAGGAAGGGTTGAGAGGTTGGGGATCAGGGTCAGGCAAACCTTGCAGTGACATTGCCCATTTGTCTTGTTGCAGTTGGGGTCAAAGCCCTTGTGAACATCACAGTTGCAGGGACCACAGGTTGGGCTCCCCCACCAGCCTCGGGGACACTGCTGATCCATCCTGGACACAAGATGTTGTCTCAGTAACCCTCCCCATGGCAGCAGGTCTTGCCCTCACCTCAGCCTCCAGCTTATTACCTGTGCTCACAGTGGTGTCCAAAATAACCACCCGGGCAGTCACAGGTATAGCCATGGGGGGCTCCAGGCAGGTGCCGGCATGACCCCTGGTTCTGACAAGGGTTCAAGAGACAGGCGTCCACACAGCCTGGGCCATAATAACCTGCAGAATGGGTTGGGAAGTTCAGGGCACTGGTTGAAGAACATAGAGGAGACAGGTACCTGTGCCTGTTCTAGGTCCCCCGACCTTGGTCCCCAGCTCCTGTCCAGAGCTTTCCCACCCTCCTGAGGCCCACCTGGCTGGCAGGTGCAGGTAAAAGTCTGCCAGAGGTCTTGGCAGTCAGCATGGGGTGGGCAGGGCGCAGAGGCACAGGCATTGGTCACGATGCAGCCAGGTTCCACATTCACTCGGTGGCTAGGGGGCAGCAGGGCTGGGGACCCCAAGGGTGCAGAACCAAGCCACACACCCTATGGACACAGCCAGCAAGGGATGAGTCCCATCCTCAAGCCCTGTACATCTGGTGATCCCTGATACACAGTCTCCCCTAAGCCTCCCAAAGTCCTGCATCAGGACCCCCTGCATCGCCTGTGTCCACATATCCCCAATTGAGCCCCCAAAGGACCTAATTGTGTTGTCTTTGGTAGAGATCCCTAATGACCCTTGATGATCTACATTACAATCACCTCCAGTACCACAGCAATCTGTTTCGGATTGCTGAATCGCTGAACTCTCCTCCAGCCCCAACTGCATGCTGCCTTTCAGGTCCCTAGGAGGCTGTCATCTGGCCACTGACTTCAATGTCTCTGTATCCTGTTTCCATGCAGACCCCTACCTGGACACAGCCAACCAAACCCTGAGGAGCCTCTTCCTTACTGCTGAGTGGCAGGCCTCCCACGTGGAGCTGCTTTACCTGCAGGCCATGCAGCTCAGTCCCCACTGCCATGGTGTCCTAGAAGAGGGGCAGTCAACACAGAGAGAAAGGGTGCCCAGGGAACCCTGCCATACCCCAGAGTCAGCACTGGCCCTCTTTAGCCTGTACACACATGCTTTGTCCTCTGTACCAGAGGAATGGGCTGAGAATGAGCTGCCCCAAGTACAGAGCACCTGCTGGGGCATAGGGATGCATAACAGAAAGGCCCCCTCTCCTGGCCCCAGAGCAGACCCTGAAAATCAATAATTTTGACATGGGCTAATTAGGGTTTGGGGCAGAGACCAGAAGGGGCTTTCAGGAGTCAGGCAAAGTCCTGACTACTGAGCTACCTTCAGACCAGGCCAGAAACTTGGGTGATTCCCTGATATGAGGAAGGCCTGCCAGGAACCCACCTGACTGGTGGAGTGGGTTCAGAGCAGGGACAGGAGGAGGGGGTTTAGGAGAACATCAGATATGGCATAGTAGAGGAGTGGAGAGGAGAGGGACCAGAGTAGAAAGCCTGAGAACAGACTATGCTCGGGTCAGAAATCAAACCTGGAAGAGGCTGAAGTCCAGTGAGACCATAAAGACATGGTGGCCCTGCCGGCCACTTGGCTCCTCCTGCAACTCCAGCCGTAGATCATGCCACCGGCCATCACTGACAGTCACTTGGTCGAGCAGGAGGTGGGCAACACGGCTGGAGCCTCTGGTTACTGTCAGTGACAGCAACCCCTGATCTAGCTGTGGGAAGAGATACATAACAGCAGGGTTAGAGCCCCAAACCAGGCTGAGGCTAGGAGATAAGAGCAGAGAGCTCAGAGGTCAAACAGTGGAGTCAAGGTTATATCTGGCACACAGAGCCCTGTGCCAGGGCATACCATGTCAGGGGGCAAAGGTTAGAAGCAGGGATCATAGACAGGTGCAGGTAGCAAGACAGAAAATTTTGCTTGTTCCCTAAACCTGCAGAGGACATAACACTTGGGGGAAAAGTCAAGGTCTAGGGTCCATTATGGTCAGGACACCTAGAGGAAGGATATGGTGTGTAACTAGACCTGAACCCACAGGAGGGCTGCTGTGGGAACCAGGTTGGGAGCTGAAGGTGCTGGGAGGGATTAAAAGGACAGACACACCTGGCAGAGGAGTGTGCTGTGTGGCCCAACCTGCACTTGCATCAGGACCCCCTGCATCGCCCGTGTCCGAAATGCCAGCCCCAGGTAAAATGGCACAGACACAGCCACGTTACTTCCAAAGTTCCAGCTCAGTGTGCCATTGCCACGGAAGTGGTAGGGATCGGCCATAGCTGAGGGGATAAAAGAAGTGGTGTCATAAGCCCCACCAAAAGAACAGGCCTTCTCCTACAGGTTCCTCCTGCCCCATGCTGCCTACTCACTGAGCTGACAGTCTCTGCCACCAAAGCCCACTGGGCAGTCACAGCTGAAGCCACCCCAGCGCTCTGAGCAGAAGCCATTGTTCTTGCATGGACCCGAATCACAAAACTGCAGCTTGGCTTGGCAGCCTAGGAGAGGAAGGCAGATGGGAGATATAGAAATATGACAAGAGGGGCTGGAGATTTAGCTCAGCGGCATAAAGGCCTGCCTTGCAAGCAGGCAGTCGTGAGTTTGATCCCTGGTACCGATAAAAACGAAAAAAAAAAAAAAAAAAAAAAAAAGAAAGAAAGAAAGGAAGGAAGGAAGAAAGAAATATGACAAGGGAGGTGGGGCATGCGTGCTGGGCAGGATATTTTGAGTCCAGAGGAACTGAAAGATGACAGGACACCAGCCTCTTGTTGTCTTGGGGAACAGGTTGGTAGGAGTAAGACCCTAAAGGCTGGGTTATACTATGCCACTTGCCATCAAAAGACCAGGTTAAGGTTCAGATATGGAGCCCCATGTGGCCCTCCACCCCTCCCTCTGAGCTAGTAGGAACTTCAGGCCTACCCGCTAAGGTGCCATTGTTTGCAACAAAGGCCGCCATGTCGACTCGGCGGCCATCAATGTGCAGATCTCGCATACAGCCGATGAAGTCCTTGTGGGACACAGGGAAGTTCTCTGGGAGGTTGGGGACACCTCCCAGAAGCAGAGGGCCCGTCAGGTCTAGGGACCTGCGGGTCAAAGGCCTAGGTCATTGATGGGACTGGGACCAAAGTAGGGTTGCTCCTGGGGGCCACAAGAAGCAGGAAGTAGGATTCAGAGGGAAGGGTGACTAGGGGGAGAAACAGGCTAGCCTAGGGGAGCAGTTAGAGCCTTACTGCAATTGTGAGGCTACAAAGGAGATTGTGATGGGCAAGTGGTCAGGGAAAGATGGGGGATCTAGTGTCGAGGACTCTGAAGAAGCGAGGCATTTGGGTAGCTGGAGTAGGGGTGAAGAAGTGGGGCTAGAAGGGGAAATGGCAGGCTTGGAGCTCTGGAGGCTGAGCATGACAATAATGGAGATGGTGGCAATGCATGGTATCAGATGCTTGGGTGAGGGACAGAGATCTTGGAGGACTGGGTGCCTGAGATGTATGTGCAGCAGCAGGGGTTTGAGGTAGAATACAGAACTGGGACTAAGTGAGAAGGCTTCCAGGACGTTCTAGGGAAGAGGGCAATCTGGTGGTCTGGAGACAGGCTGAGGAGTTTGGCAGGCTGGGCTGAGGATGGGCCATGTGAAAGATTGGGGTAGGCTCTGGTAACACAACACAGGGGTGGGCGTGGGGGCCTCACTTCTTGGAGCTCGTTTGCACACCAGCAGCTGCACATGAATAGTTGCCAATCTCAGCACCAAACTGCAGAGCCACAGCCACATTGCAGTCATCCACACTCAACACAGCCACCTTGTCCTTGGAGGGGCCCTGAGCACCCCCTAGGGCATCTGTCCGGGGCTAAAGACCCAAACATACTTGTCAATAATGTCCCTAGGGTACCCCTGAATATCAGAACTTAGAATTCCAGTTCTCACCCCTACACCATGATAGGGTGGCACGCACCTTGTTGTAGTATTTCAAATGCACGGTATGCCACTGCCCATCACTCAAGCCCCCTGGAACGGTGGGCCTGACCACTGTGTTGGACTCGCCTGTGGGGGATATGCACATGGGGTGCTGCGTGGAGCTGTTTAGTCATCCCACCCCTCCAAGGGCCATCCCAGAGGCTCAGGTGACCATATTGGCTGGGCCAGAGTGCCCTTGAACAGACAGGAGAGACTCACACCCGGAGAGACAGATCTTTCCATAGGGCAAGGCCACGCAGCTGCCACCTGCTCAGCACCCAGGTGTGTGCTCTGGGAGGTAGACTGCCCCATGCACAATGCACCCATATCCTGTCACATACACCACCGGGAGCACCCACCAGTGGAATATGTGAGCTGCACTTGGCCAGCCACTAGCTCGAGGGCCAGAAAATCATGCTTCTCATTCAGGCGTCCATTGTAGAAAAGTAGCCCGCTGGGTTGCATGGTCGCAAACCTGGGTGGAAGGGGAGCAGCGTGTCAGGACCCCAGCTCACTCCCACCGAGCCGGCCCCTCCAAGCTGGGGTGGGAGAGGGGGACAGCGACAGGAGAGCGGGCCATGTCCTCTGGAGACAGTCAAGAACCTAATAGGGTTACACTGGGAGGAATGCAGGACGGGCACCTACGAGAGGGACAGCGTGAGGTGGAAGCGCTGCCGCAGGCCCCTGAACATGACGAATGAGCTGGGTGGGAAGGAGCGGGCCGCCACCTCGCAGCGAGGGCCCTCGAAGGCACCGCCCGCAGGGCACTGGCAGCGGAAGCCACCGTGGGGCGCATCGGTGCAGGTACCGCCATTGCGGCAGATGCCAGGCACGCAGCGTCCGGCCTCCGTGTCCAGCTCGCAGTCCTCTCCTGCGGGACAGAGAGGTCAGGGCTGCCCCGCGGGACCCGCCGCCGCGCACAGGCCCAGCGCCCGTGGGTCTGCCAGACCCTGCCCCCGCCGCGTCCACAACCGCCATCAAGCCCCGCCCCTGCCTCCTCCAGCTTAGGAAGACTTGATTTTCTGTAACCTGCGAGCGGATTTCCCTGGCCTGGGCTCTGCGGCTTCGGGTCTGCCCGCACCTCCGCCTCCACTAGCCCCTGCAGCCGAAAAGGTGGCTCCCGCTCCCCACTCGTGATGCGCCCCGGCGCGCCCGACTCACCGGTGAAGCGCGGGCGGCAGACGCAGGTGTAGCCGCCCTCGCGTCTTGCGCAGGCGCCGCCGTTCCTGCAGGGGTTGGAGTAGCAGAGGTCCAGCTCGGTCTCACAGAAGTCGCCGGTGAAGCCGGGAGGGCAGCGGCAGCGCAAGCCTGCGATGGGCTGGATGGGCCGGAAGAGAGTGGAGGCCGAGGCCAGGAAGGGCGCTGAGGAATCGAAGCGCAGCACCGACACACACTTCATGTAGTTCTCGCAGGGCTCGCGCAGGCAAACGTTGTCGTCGAAGGGCAGCACGTCCAGCAGCGAGCGGGCCGCCAGCGCGGCGCGGCGCACGTACAGCTGCTCCTGCAGCTCCTCGGAGCTGAACCAGGGTGCGGTAGCCCCAGCACCCGCGCCCCGCGGGGCCAGCGCAGAGAAACTGACGTTGAGCACAGTGCCCCCCACGTCCGTGTCGTTCTGGATGTTGAAGATGAAGACGTCCTCGGTTGGTGTGGCGAGCACGGCAGCCACGCCTTCAAGAAAATGGCCCAGCAGCGGGGACAGGAACCGCTCCTGCCACATGTTCTCCAGGCGCACAGTCAGGCTGTTGGCGAGCAGCTCCTCCGTGATGATGATCACTCGCAGCACACACTGTGCTGTCACGCTGTGCAGGCCATCTGCAGATAGGAGCAGGGGCAGCCGTCAGCAGGGGCTAGCAGCTGCCTCTCCTGGGACACAAAAGGGCTGGGGACAGTGACTGCTCAGTTCCCCTGCATCTGTGAGTTCACAGGTTGGCCCCCAGAACATAATTGAGTGTAGGGCTAGCAAACACCACCTATGGCCCCAGCTTCCTCCTCCATCCCCAACATAAAGAGGGCACTGGATCAATGATCAACCAGCCCCTGGCAAAACCCATCGGTCAGCATGTCACAGCACACAAGAAGGTCCCCGCATTCTCAATCACCCACACTTCCCCTAGTTATGTTCAGCAGTTACCCCCACTCAGGACACAGGCTATGGCCACCAGCTACCCATTCCTAGCCACCTCCTTCATACACAGTCAACATCCCCTCCAAGAAACAAGGGATCACCCACACCATCTCTGGTGAGAAGACTGCTCTGTGGTGGCACTATAAGGGGTCGTGACTCTGCGAACACTCAAAGTCCATTCCCCACAACCCTGGGTCAGCAAGCACCAGTAGGATTTTGGACCTGGCAATACTCTTACACACTTCCACACGTGTGCTAGCACACACACACCATACTGGGGATTTAACCCAGGGCTTTGCACTGAGCTGTATCTCTAGCTCTTTGCTGCATTTTATTTTTTATGTTGAGAAAGGTCTCATAAAGACACTAAATTGCCCAACTGGGTTTGAACTTGTGATCTTGCCTTAGACTCCCAGAGTGCTAGGATTAGAGACATTTGCCATTATACCTAAACTATCAGCATTCTTGAGTTAGCAAGCTGCCCACTACCCTAGATCTGAGACCTATGGTTTCTGTGTTCACTCCCAGAGATGAAGGTGAGGTACTTAACTGCCTTGTTCACCTTTTCTCTTAGCACACTGGGTGTGCAATAAAGACTGGTTGTTGAGTGAATTTAGAATAAATGAAGGTTGTGTATTCTCTGGCCCTGCCAGGAAACCTAGCTTCAGAACTGAGGGATGAGCATCCCTAAGAATCAACCTTTAGGATCTCCAGAAGTGAGACATCAGGAGCCTTTTCTACCTGTACCCTCCTTCTAGGGAAGGGTTTGTGAAAACCTGAGATAGTGGAAGCAGGCAAGAAACAAGTGGGCCTCTGGACATTTTCCCAAAGAGCAAGGCCTTGGACAGACCTTTAAGCTGCTGTTCCTGACCACTAAACTGCTGGCCTTTTTTTTCTGCTCAGATGAGGTGAGGACCCAAAGTAACCCTTCATCTAGCCAAGTCCATGTTATAAACTAATACACTCTGACTTTCCCTGGGATATTCAGTGTTACACGGAGACCTTCACTGCCCATTATGGGGAGGGGAGCTGTCTCTAGGCTAGCAGGTGCTTGTTTATAGATACTTTATTGATGCCACAGAACCTTGGGGGTCCTGTGGAGATTGTCCAAGAACCTAAACAGGGTCCCTAACAAGTCTATGGTAATTTTGTGGGGCACAGGAACTCGACACTCAGAGATTCTCAGAAGGCTAGGAAATCACTCTGGTTTGAGATGCCTTGTAGAGTCCCGGAGGCCCTGACAAGCTAGGGTCACTGGGTCACTTGCCTACTCATGTCCCTCACCTGTGACAGTCACCAGCATGGAGGCCACTAAAGGGCGGTTGTTGTCTAGCTTTCGACTAAGTCGCAGCTCTCCACTGGTCTGGTTGACCACCAGCAGCTGCAATTCATTGCCACGCTCAAAGGAATAGAAGAGGTGGTCGGAGACATCAGGGTCATAGGCTGGGATGCGCCCAATAGTGCCTGAGGGAAAGGTATCTGAACGGTTGGATACATAGTTATTGAAGAGGATCTGGAAGTTGTTGAGCACTGGACTGTTGTCATTCTGGTCAACTAGGCGGACATGCACAGTGGCCCGACTGACCAGAGGGGCAGAAGTGGCCTGCACCACAATCACATATTCCTGGCGAGCCTCATAGTCTAGATCAATGAGTGCTGTCAGCTCTCCTGAGAAGATGTCCATCTGAAACAGCTCAGGGATGTTCCCTTCCACAATCTGGTACATGATATGGGCATTAGGGCCTTCATCAGGGTCCACTGCAGTGATCTGGGCCACCACCGAGCCCACAATGCTGTTCTCCTTTACCCTTACTTCAAACTCCTCAGCAGGGAAGACAGGTGCATTGTCATTCACATCTTGCACTATCACCTGGATACTGACTGGTGTCCGCAGTGGAGGCACACCACGATCCACTGCGTAGGCAGTCAGCTCATACACTGGCACTGCCTCCCTGTCCAGCCGCCTCACGGTCCGGACTATACCAGAGGTGGGTTCAATGGTAAAATCTCCATCCCCATCTTCTCCATTCTGGAATGTGTACTGGACCCGGCCATTGGCATGAGCATCCCGGTCAGTGGCTGAGATCTGCAGGACGCTAGTGAAAGGTGGCGCATCCTCAGAGACCAACCCTGTATAATGAGAGGTCACAAACTGTGGAGCATTGTCATTCACATCATTGACCATCACCTCTACATAAGTGGTATCTGCTTTCTGTGGGATGCCATTGTCCCGTGCAGTAATGGCTAGCGTGTAGGTCACCTGGTCCTCATAGTCCAGTGGAGCCTGTAGGGTAATAGCCCCGGAATCTGCATCAATACGGAACTGAGGCAGGTTGTCCTCCAGAAGATAGGTGATGCGAGCGTTTTCACCTACATCATCATCAGAGGCACTGATGACCACTACAGTGCTACCCACTGGCCGATCTTCATTCATGCTGACTGAATAGTGAGCACTTTGAAAGACAGGCCGGTGAGTATTGGCATCTGTGATGTTGATGTGCACGTAACAGTGATCATGAAGGGCGCGATCAGATGCAGTAAGCACCAGTTTGAAGTAACGTTCCTGCTTGTAATCCAGTGGCAGAGCCAGTGTCACCAGACCCACACCTCCTTGGGTGCTGATGGCAAATCGATTTCGGGTATTGCCACCTGTGATCTGGTAGCTGATGGCATTGTTGGCATCACGGTCTACAGCAGTCACACTGACCACACTGGTGCCCACAGCTGCATCTTCATTCAACCGAAGGTGATACTCTTTCGTGGTAAATTCAGGCCGATTGTCATTAACATCTAGCACAGTCACTGTGACACTAGCTGAGGCAGAGAGTGGGGGAGAGCCATAATCTCGGGCCTCTACACCGAAGAAATAGTGTTCCACAGACTCACGGTCCAGGGAACCACTCACAGAGACCCAGCCAGTGGCACTGTTTATCACAAAGGGTGTATCAGGTGCCACACCAGTTAGCGAGTACTCTAACCTGGCATTCTCCCCATGGTCTGCATCCACTGCCTGAATGTGGATGACTGAGTGGCCCAGGGGTGCATTTTCCAGAACAGAGACCTGGAAGGGTGTGCTGACAAAGATAGGAGTATGGTCATTGATATCTACCACCTGAATGCTGGCCAGGCCAGTGTTGTTGGACAAGGGGGGGCGGCCTGCATCCTGCGCCCGGATTCGTAAGACATATTCTCTCTCTGCCTCGAAGTCCAGAGGTGCCACTACCTGTATCTCACCCGTGAGGCTGTCGATGGCAAAGTGGCCACGGCTGTTGCCACTGATGATGTTGTAGTGTACCAAACCATTGGCATCCTTATCTTGGTCTGTGGCCGTGACACGCAGTACCACTGTGTGGGGGCGCACGTCTTCACGCACCTGCGCCACGTAGCGCTTCTCACTGAATTGGGGCGCATTGTCATTCTCATCCAACACAGTAATATGTACACGCACGGTGGCTGAGCGTGGCCCGGGTTCCTGACCCTGGTCACTGGCCTCCACCACCAGCTCGTAGCTTTCCATGTGTTCACGATCCACACGGCCACTGGTGCTGATGAGGCCAGAGCGTGGATCAATCTCAAAAGCAGCAGCAGCTGCCTTCCGAGTAGCTGGCGGCCCCACAAAGCGGTAGTGCAGGTTGGCGTTGAGAGGTGCATCGCCATCCGTGGCACGCAGTTGCAGGATGGGATAGCCCTCTTCCACGTTCTCACGAAGGGTCTCCCGGTACTGCGCCTGCTCAAACACCGGTGAGTGGTCATTGCGGTCAGCCACTGTGACAGCTACCATAGTAGTGGCCGAGAGGCGCGGCAAGCCGTGGTCCTGTGCGGTCACACGCAGGTAGTGGCGTTCCATACTTTCGCGGTCCAGGGCGGCGGCTGTGCGGATCAGGCCGCTGTGCGGATCGATACTAAACAGCTCCAGTGAGCGGCTGTTCATGAGCGCCGCCAGGGAATAGACCAAACGCCCGGCTTCACCTGAGTCCGGGTCCTGTGCTACGACGCGCAGCACCGTGGTGCCTGCCGCCTCATTCTCAGGCACCAGAGTCTGGTAGTTGTACTGCGGGAACTGCGGGTGCCGGTTTGCGGCGCGGCGGGAGCGTGCTCGGTTCGCGGAGGCTGCTCTCCAGGCTTCAGGGTTGGCCTGCAGCATGGGCTGCCCAGGCGGCCGCGGCCCGGGACGCTGTGGAAGGAAGCCGCGGTGGAAGACACTGCCGGGGCGCATGCGTCCAGGAGCTGTCCGCGATTCGCTGAGTGCTGAACCCGGCTTTGGAGCTGTCCTCACTTTTCGTGGTGCTGAATCTAAACTACGGCAAGACCCCCCAACCCCAGGAAGACAGTCCCGCCGAGGAAACGTCCTGTCCTCTGGGGCTGTAGCCGCTCTCTCGCCCAGACTTCTGCGCCCCGGTGCCCACAATTCCCCACAGCAGCGCATGGTGCCCACTCTTTTGCGGGCACTTCTCCTAGCGTGACACTGGAAGGACACTGGCTGGGAACCACCGTACTGAGCCAAAAGGTCCGAAGGAAGGGGCAGCGTGTTCCTCAGACCTGGGGGTCCTAGGGACAGAGCCTCTGGCGACAGATCGCCTCTTCGGAAAGTCCTCGTTTCTCCACCGGAGAACTCTGGGCATAATAGAGACCCTAGGCCCTGCCCTGTCTCTCTCTGGAGCCTGCCCGATGCCTGCACCTCTAGATCTGAGTCTGGCCGCTCTAGGGGTCCCCGCCCGACCCAGGCGCGCTGCTGTTCCCCTCGGAGCCCTGTGACGACGGGCTTCCCATCTCGTAGACCAGGTCTCTCCTCCCTGGACTCCGGCGGCTGGGGACAAAGGGCTAAGGCTCTGCCGCCGATCTGCACCCTCCGCCCCGCAGCAGCAGGTACTCCCGGGTCCCAGCCTTGGTCCTTGCCGCCCCCCAGCTCCTCCTGGCTAAGGGGGAACAAAGAGAGGAGAAGCACCACGAGCAGCGGGGTCGGCGGTCCCCCGAGACCCCAACACAGCAGCCGTCTCGCCATCGCCCCCCGCCTCTGCGCACGGCCTGCACCGCCCCCCGCCCCGGCATGCGCCTCGGGCCCGCCCCGCCGCCCCGGCCCCCTCCCAGGCCCCCGCCCCGGGCCCCCGCCCCTCGGCCTGTCCCTCCGCGCCGCCGCCTGCCCCTGGGCACCATCTACTCCGCGGCCGGAACCCTTCCAGCATACGACCCCGGCTCCTGCCGCCCCCACCACAGCATCCCCGCCGCCGCTGCCGCCTCCCGTCGCTCCAACATGGCTCCCAGCCGCCCGGATAGTTCGCTCCACCTCCGCCCAGACGCCCCAAACCCGGTAGTACAGCCCGCCGCGCATGGCAGCTCGGGCGACCGAAGCCGTTGCCGCCATCTTTATTTAGGACACGCGGCGGGCTGCTGGCGAGTGGGGCTGGAAGCTTGTTGCCGTGGGACAAGCCCCTCTCCTCTCAACCACCGCTCCTTCCTCGGCGCCGTCCCAGTCTAACTCTTCTTCTTGCAGGTCTCTGTCCCCTCCCTGAGTATGTTTATAAACCATGCGATTTTGTTCTGAAAAAAGGGATGTTCCTGACGTGTGGAGAGCGCATTCTCCCGGCTCTGGTGGGGGGGGGGGTATGGTGCAGTCCTAAAGCGAGAGGGGAGGATGGCGGGACGCGGCCCACGGCTCCAGAAGACCCAACAACTCTTGGAACACAAGTTTCACTCATAAAATAAGTTGCAATCATCTGCTCGTGAGGAGCCCCTGCTGAGCGGGGCCCGAGGCGGCTTCCAGCAATCTCCCAGACTAGGGGGTCCTGGAGGCCGCACGGTCTCTCTGGGCCTTAGATGCCACTGCCCACTGGGGCCCACTGCTGCACTACAGCTGTAGATAACTTCCTCAGACCCCTGTCCCTTCAGGAGACTACCATATTCCTCAACCCCTTGAAGGAACTGACAGCTTAGCTCTCCGTTCAATCCCACTCAACCGGTGCGGACGCCTTCGGGCATGCGCGGGCCTCTGCCGGCCAAAAGCAGGGTACCGCGCGCTGCCGTCTTCCCGGGCCAGGGGGCGGGGCACAAGTGCGCCTATGGGTTAGAGTCATTGTTTCTATTGGCACAATGGGAAGCCCCGCCCCTCGCGGAGGACTGATTGTACGCCGGATGGGTCTGTCGGGGTTCGGGATAGCAGAGAGAGGCATCCCAGGAGGCTCTGTGCGGGCGCCCAACAGCAGCTCAGCAGCAGAGCACGCCCGAACCCTGGTAGGGAGGAAAAAGTTGGGCACCTAGAACGTTCCCCTGGCTGTGAACTCCACCCCACCCCCCGCCCAAGTGGATCCTGATTCAGACAAGCTGAGAACTCCTGGCCAAAACCTCTGGCAGAGGCCCGGACCGGTAGCTATGACATCACCACCAACCAATCAGTGCGTCCGTTGGCCCAAGATTTTCTGGAGGTGCTGCTCCCGCGGACTCCACCTCCAGAGCGCTCCTCTTGGCCCCTGAAAACTGGTTCGGAGCTTCTAGGCTCCTTCCCAGGTCCGAGTTCTGGAGCTTGCCCAGAATCAGAGTCTGGCAGGACTGCGCACAGAGGTGGGGGTTTCTGCAGAGGCGCCAAGGGCAGCGCTTCATTAATGGGGTCCAGGGTCCTGAGGCAGCAGAAGAGAGGACCGGGACGGGATTTGGACAGAGTGCGCCGCCCCCTGGGTCCATCAGTGAGTGGAAGGTACAAATCCTGAGAGCAAGGAAGAAGGCAGGAGGGCGCTACTGAGAGAAGAGCCGAGGTCCCAAAGGAGACACCTGAGCTGTTTTGGCAATCTGGGAGGTCTCCAGAAAAATAGCCCTAAGCAGCGCCTTGAGCCCAGAGCTGGTTGGCGTGTGCGAGAGAAGAGGGGAGCCATTCTAAAGCTCAGAGACTGCGTGAGCCTCACCATGCCCAACCTAACAATTTCCTTTTATCAAATGACAACTTTAAAAACAGGAGCCAGGTACTGCTGGAAAATGTTCATCTTACTTAAAGGTGTGATTAATTGCGAACCAGTCCCTCGGATAACTGGATGTTTAGATAATAGTAGGGCGTTTATTCCTCATTTCCCCTTAATCCCCTAAGGAACATTCTAGTAGGGGTGGTGAGATTTTCCTCTGTTAGCAATGACCATGGCCTTCCTAAACACACACACATACACACACACACACACACACACACACACACACACACACACACACATTCTTCCTGAGCCCATGGGCTTGCATTGAACACAGAGGCACAGTGTGGATGTGAATGTGAGTCACTGCAGCAGAGTCCCATCGGGCTTCGGTTCTGCAGGTGATAACGCACGTTCTCAGCAGCCGGCCAGTGCTGAAAGGATGAGTGTCCTCCTGTTTAGAGGAGCTGTTTCTCACTTGAAATGTGTGGCTGCCACAAAAGTTCCCTCTTCCCTTCCACTGGGTAGCCCCTTGCTGGGAATATGGGCCACTGACTGTCCACCAACCTCAGGAATAATTTACTTTGTTTATAATTTAGACAATTTTTTTAACCCTTGATTCTTTCCCCACAGACCCAGTATTACAATTGTTTGCAGGACTTGCTTTTATACTTAGCAATGTATAGTGCTTTGATATCCCATTCAGCCAAGCACACCTCATTACAGCCTCCCCATCTGATTTTGTTTGTCCCTGTAACGTCTGGTTCATTGGGAATAAAAGACTCCAGTGGTCTCCTTATACGTCACTCGGTCTATAGATGTATTATTTCTGTTAAAGTGATCTGCTGCTAATGGCTGGCCCTGGGCATTCAGAGGTGCTGGCTGATTACTGCTCCTGTCATAGAAAACTGTGGAAGTCTGTAGAGGAGCTTTCTCCCACTTGGAATGTGTGCAGTCTGTTTTCTGCCGTGTATTGTTTCAAATATAAGTCTACTTCGTGCTTGACACTTTCCATTTACTGATCAACAGAGCATCCTGCTTGAGGACTTTGATGAAATAAAAAAAGCCAGAGCTGAGACTTTTCTGTAAATCCCAGCACTCTGAGAAGCTAACGTAGGAGGACTGGAAGTTCTAGCCCAGTCTGGGCAACTTAGCCGGACCCTCTCTCAAAAAGAAAGAAAAAACAGTTAAATAAGGAAATAGGAAAAAATTAAAATTGAAAGGGGCTGAGACCCAGCTATCTCCTTTATAGGTATAACTGAAAGAGTTAAGTCATCACATTACAGTAATGCATTCACTCCATGTTTATAGCAGCATATCTAAATCTTGGAAACAACCTTCGTGTTCATCAGCAGATGAATGGATAAAGAAAAGGTGGTATTTATACATAATGGAGTACTATGCTGCCATAAAGAAGACAGGTGCTGCATTACATATGTGTAATCCCAGCTACTTGGGAAGCTGAGGCAGGAGGATCACAATTTTCCACCCAGCCTGGGTAGTTTAGGAAGACCTTGTTTAGAAATTTTTAATTTCTTTAAAATTTATAAAGAAAATTTTAAAGGTGGGATGGGAGTGTAGGTCAGTGTGAGGTCCTGGATTCAATTCCCAGTATTACAAACAACAATGAAACCCTTAAGGACTCCTGTCTCAGGCTGGCACCTGCCTGGCAAGCACAAAGTCCTGAGTTTGATTCCCAGTACAAAAAAAAAAAAAAAAGGACTCATGTCCCAAATATATACTACATATTGATAAAAGACAAAGGGTATATGAACAAGAGATTTGAATAAATGTATCAAAAAAGAAAATATCCAAATAGCTAGTATACTAATGAAAATGTTCTCAGCCTCTTTAGTCATCAGAGAAATGCAAATTTAAAAATTCACAATTCTACTAGAAAAGCTAAAGTAAAAATGACAATAGGTTCCATAATGTGTGTGTATGTGTAGGGGTGTGTGTGTGTTCTGTAGTGCAGAATGTAGACTGAGCCTGGGTCCTTGTTCATAGGCAGGTGCTCTGAGGGATATACCCAGCTAGACCAAGTTTTGAGGAAAACCAAAAGAGCTAGAATTCTCAGACTTCACTGGAGGAGCGTATGCCCGCTGGTAGAGGTACAGTATCTGGAACACTATTTGGCAGTATCTATGAGCAAGCAAACAATTCTAGTCTTGCAAACATGCCCCTAAAATAAAGCATACAAGCAAAAAGGTATGTATAACAATGCTCCTGTTAACAGACAGAAGTGGCATGCAGCTGGAAGGTCATCAGCAAAGGGTGGATGAGTGTACTGCCTGTGTGCCACTGAGATTGAACAAACTCCAGTCACATACCATGACATATGAATTTCAAACACTTAATGGTGAGTGACAAGCCAGACATAGGCAGAGTCCATGTAAAAATTTACCTGACTCTCTCTGGAGAGAGGGGAGGAACTAGTGATGGAGTGACTAAGTGATCTGAAGACTGGTGACATTCTGTTTCTTCACCTGGGTCATGGCTACACTAGCATTTTCACAGCCACAGTACTCTTCAAAAACTGTACTTTCGACCTCACCTTTACCAGGTAGGCACTTATGCTACTTAGCTAAATCCCCAACCCAATACTATTTTTAATAGGATGTTATTCTTCCATTAAAAGAAAAAAAGTTGTCTTCATTTTCCTTAGAGCCTCAGTCTGTCTTGGGGCCTGAGCCAGCTGGTGATCTTGACTTCTCATCCTAGGGTTTTCCTGTGCATGTGCCACTGTGGCCACATGCATGTCCCATAGAGAGTACCAGCCCCTGTAGACTCCTGTCTGCAGGTGTCATTTCTCACCTAGCAACCAGCTCTCTCGTGCCCTAAGCTTGAATCTCTTCTGGATTGTCACCTCCAGTCACCCCCTTTCTTTGAGTGGCTTGTTGCTCTTCCCTTTCTGGTCCAGCCTCCTTCACATTTGCAACCTCCCATTCGGTCCATGACACATCTGTGACAGTTTGCTTCTCTAATCATAATCTTCCTCTGTGGCTCTAACTTTGTGCTAAGGCTGTCCTCAGAATGTTTGCTGAGGGGTCCTGAAGTCCTGTCCCCAACCTCTCCAGTGCATGTTTGCTATCGACATCTAGCATTTACATAATTTTGTAAGCTACAACTTGTGCATCCCTTACACAGTTGCACAAGGGTCCTTTGGACAACCTTGGAGAAATGGACATCCTTTACCTGAGGTGCCAGCACTAGGACAGATGCCAGAGCACAGCTCTGCTCTTCCCACCAGGTTGGCATGTGCATTAGGACATGGAAAACAAAAATCATGGTTGGTGCTAGATGTCCCTGCCCCAGCTTTCTGAGGATCTGTGCTTTTCACTGAATTGTCTCTCCTGTGAGCTAACAGTTGCCTGACCTCAGCACTCTCTTGAGAAAGAAGTCATGACTGAAGCCTGCGTTGCTGACCTTGGATGGAAAAGGGGCTCTCCCAGGATTAGGAGCCTCCAGCCATGATAAGGAGGGGCTCTTGTCCTGCTGCCTCTGTGCCCCCCTTCAGTGTGTTCCCTAGCAAACCATCCTGCTTTTGCTTCCTGAGCACCTGCTTTCTGGAGCCCCACTCTGTGTCTCCGCTGCTGCCTGCAGCATTCTCTTGTTACTGGGACCACAGCAGCTCCCTGCCCTCAGCATCTAGTGAGAAAGGGAAGATGGTGACAGGAGCCACAGCACTAGTGACCGGGGTATGTGGACTCCTGAATGAAGTCCTGTGTGGAAATGAAGAGCACTGATGCCTCACGGCCAACTGCTGTCCACCAGGAATGAATCTTGGTGTTTATTGCCACTTTTCAGGACAGGCTCTTTGCTAATGTGGGAGCTCATGAAGAGAATGAAGTTTTTATTATACTGGCTTCTAGGCCCTAATTACAAACCTAATTACACCCTTAACATTCTCTTTCAAACCTGGGTGTGATGATGGTGCACACCTGTATTCCAACACTTGAGCGGCTGAAGCAGGAGGACTGAGGGTTTGAGGGCAGCCTGGGATACATAGTGTAAGAACAGCCTGATAGGGGCTGGGGATTTAGCTCAGCGGCATAAGCACCTGCCTTGCAAGCAGGCAGTCTTGAGTTCGATCCCCAGTACTGATAAAAAAAAAAAGAAAAGAAAAAAGCACAGTCTGCTCTACATAACAAAAACTAAAACAAACAAAACATACACAGACTTACCCTCAAAAACTGACACCTCAAGCTGGGGATGTGGCTCAATGGTACAGCTCTTCCCTTGCAAACACAAGGCCCTGCGTTCAATGCCCAGCACCGCGCACACACACACACACACCACGCACAAGATATCTCTAGGTTTCAAAGGAAAATAAAGCCAGACAAGGCCCATGTATTAAGGGAGACCACGGCTGGGAAATGACTTGCTTCATTTGATAACAGCTATGCAGGAGAACAAAGTTTTAAAAGGGGTGACTTTCGGAGGAGAGGCTGGAAGTACAGCCACCTGGCAAAGCTGGGACCCAGGACAGCTTAGCATACAGAGGCTGGAATGGCCATCAGGTCTGTCGCCTCTTCAGGTTGCAGAAGTCTGAAGCCAAAGGACAAGGTACTGACCCCTTCTCCCAGGGTCATATAGGGAATCCTGATTCCAGATGCCTCTGATTTATTTCCAAAGTTGAGCTACAGCACGTAGGAAAATACACAGGACTTTTCAGGCTACATTTTTAGAGAAAATAGATTCTGTCATTGACTTTCTCAGCATCACCATCCTGCTTCATGAAGCTCCAAAATGGATGGCGTGTCTCCTGGATATTCTTGGGTATCTTCCACTTTCACAGCAACAGCTTGGCCAAGATCTCCTGGATTGGGAGCAAGGGGCAGTGATCCCAGGGGGTTTGAGGGAGCACATGAGCAGCACTCACTGCAAAGCTAAGGCAAAGAGCAGAACTGGTGGGCAGCACCCTCCCTCACCCCAAGGACATGGCTTGCAGAGGCCCAGGGCACAGGCCAGGCGGGTGGGATGGGGCTCCAGCCCAGCCTGGAGCAGCAGCAGGGCTCTGAGTGTGCAGGGGACAAAGGGGTTTGAGGCAGAGGTGAGGCATGCTGAAGAGGCAGACTACCAGGGATGGAGGGGCTTCTGCTTGTATATTCCTTTCACCCCAGGATACCCCTAATCCTATACTTGGCCTCTTGCGTTGGATCTATTTGAGGTTGGGGGCCCTGCTCAGGACCCTCTACCCACTCAGCCCCTCCCAATGTCAGTGCAAAACATTCTCAGGGTGAAGCCCCTGAGTCCCCTGCACCCTTCTCAGAGCTGCAGGGAAGCGGGGAAAGGAAGGTGCTAGCTGGGGGCTTCGCCAAGCACTGGGAACTCCTTGCACATCTCTTGGACAATCATTCGGTCCAGCTGGCACTGGGGTGAGGTTTCCTCCTCAGTCAGGATGCGCCGCAGTGTAGCCTGCAGGTCCGAGAGCCGATGGCGGTGCTGCAGGTAGGGTGTGGAGCGGACCACAGCATGCATCAGGGAGAGGTAGTCCATGCGCAGCTGTGGGAAGAGGAGCTGGCTCAAGGCCTCCTGGGAGTACTGTGACTACTACCAGATGGGGACCAGCTGTTATCTCCCATGGGCCCAGGCCACGGACCAGCTCACACTGTGAAAACATCAAGGTTATATCCCCAATAGCCAGAATGTGCCTTCAGCAGTCACTGTGTAAATGAGTGGATGAATCCGCCCAGCCACAGGGAATCCCTAGGTGGGGCCTGGCCTAGGAAGCCCTGCTACTCCTTCAGAGCCAGGCCTTTGAGACGCAACATACGTCAGCCGGAGGCCCTCAGCTTTTACCTGCCCCGCTCTTGCCCTGGAAGAAGACCTCACTGACACCCACAGTTAAAAACATGACCTGATCTCGTACTTCTATCTAGATCTGTCCTGTGAACTCCAATCACCTGTTGTCCTAACTGCAAATCTCAAACCCACACAGCTGCCATCTAATTTGATTTTCCCCTCCTTCTCCACCCTGGAAGTTTCTCATGTTCTCCAGTTCATGAAAGAACACTGCCGTCAACTCAAAAGCATGCGCCTAAACCAAGTGTGGTGGTACCTGCATATAATCCTAGCACTTGGGAACCTGAGGCAGGGGGACTGCTGTGAGTTCAAGGCCAGCCTGGGCTACATGGGAAAACCTTGCCTCAAGGGGACAGAAAAAATAAAGCACAGGCCTGAAATGGGGGTGCACTCTTTAATTCCTCTCTCCTGCATATTTGACTCATCTGCAAGACCTGGCCAACATATGCTCTCCATAGGCCCTGAATCCATCTCCAGCACCTCTCCCCAGCCCTGAGACTTGACACCCTTCTCCATCTTCCAGATCTCATCTGCCGGACCAGCTGGCCTTGTGCCTCCTGGGGAACACAGCAGCAGTCTTTCAGAAGCCCTGCATTTTGTTCTCAGCACCCGCATCTCACCTGTCCCCATCAGAATGAACAGCAGAGGCCTCAACTCCTGACACAACATCTGCTCCTCCGGGGTCAAAGTCAGGACAGGCACAGCACCTTCCACTTCTAGGACACCCTCCCTGACCCGCTCATCTCCCGCTCCCCATTCACCCCTGCCTTTCTACTCCCTTTCTCAGAAAATACAGGAGCTGCTTCTGTTCAGCACCATCCATTTCCACTCCTCAGTTACCTTCAGATTCCCTCTAGCTTTCCACCAGGTCCTCCATTCCCCTGACCCCACTGTCACACTGACAGCTCCACAGTGAACACTAAGGCCCCTCTCCTGCCCAGGGTTCTGGGACACTGCTTGCCTGCCTTCCTTCCTAGGTCCCTTCCTATGTACCCTTGTGGTGTCCAGGTGAGGGCGGGCTCCCTGCTGACTCTGCCCTCTGTCCCATTTCCTCAGCGATCTCTGCACACAGAGCTCCCAAATGGCCCTCTAGTCCCAACTTGTCCCCACTGCCTCCCTCATGCTCAGTGCCCAAATGTCTACCAGGCATCACCCCATTCTATACCATCAATCTATAACTCTCTTGTCCTCCCAAGAAGTTTCCCTTCAGCCCTCTTCCTATTGGTTGTAAGACTGCGCCTGCCTAGCTATACCATTAAGCCCTGCCATATCCACCATCCAATACACCCCAAATCTGACCTTCCACCACCTGATGGCCTCTCCGTACCCCACAGGCCTCCAGCTCTCACTCTGCCCCAACATGGTCAAGATCCCATAAGATGTGTTATCAGACCACTCCTTCCTCTGAGGTCTACCTGCTGCTGCAGCCCCCAGGTGCTATGTGTACCCCATGTCCCTCCCAGCTTCACATCCCACGCTCTTCACTGCAGTTTTCCCCCAACGCATCACCCTAATGGCTCCACAGCCGCTTCCTCTGGCTCCTGGTTCCCAAGTGGCTCCCATCCCTACCTGGCTGCAGCAGCAGCAGCCCTATCTGCTCATGTTTCGTGTCCACTCAAGTTCACCCCTGCCCCACTGAAGGTTCGGTTTCCACTCAGCTTCCACCCCTGTGGCATGTGGCAACCTCCAAACACCTTGTCTCCAGGTGAGAGGTCCGCAATGTGCCGCACGGTGATGTCGATGAGTGCCATCATGTCGGTGTGGTAGAAGATGGCAGCTGTGGCGGTGCTGCTGAACACGTCCTGCAGGAACTTGAGGACCGAGTGTGGCGGCTGTGGTTCGTGTTTGAAGATGCGCACAGGGTCATCTAGAAGGCAGGGTCATGGGGTCAGTACAGCCTTTGCTGGCATCCCAGAATAACCCCAGAGGGGGACAGAAACACAGGGGATACAGGCGGTACCTGTGCACACATTCTGGGGCCCTCACCTCCTCTGTTGAGAAGCAGAAGCAGCTTTTCGGAGAAGATCTTGATATTGGAGTGTTTGCTCAGGGCAGCCATGATGATGTTCTGGTCAGGCACTGAGGAAGGATGGGGTGTAGCCAAGAACAAATACAGCTGCAAAGCCTCTCTGATTGGTCCCTCCCAGCCAGGTCCCAACCTCACCTGGCAAGTGCAGGTTGAGAGCCAAAAGCAGGTTCACGCAGAGGTCCGGCAGCTGTTCCGTGATGTCCAGAGGTAGGCCATCCTCAACAACACTCAGCAGGAACTGGGCAAAGGGTGTGCCCAGGTGTTCTGGAAGAAGGCACACACAAGTTTGCAGTCTGGTCCCTCCCCCTGTGCCACTCAGATTCCTGGGCTTTCTGGGAACCTTGGCGACCCCCTATCCCTGCCAACCCTCAGGCCATGGGCCACACTTCTGTGGTCAGCAGCTCAGTGGTCTGCATTCTTACCATAGTGGGCATAGGGCACTGCCTCCCCCATGGAGAAGACCATGGCCAGGATGAGCGCAGAGTAACAAAGCTTCTGGTGGTCTGGGGTGGGGAAACAGGTGGTCAGAACCCTAAAGATGGCAGGAACCCCAGCCAATGGCTGGACACTCTCCCGCCCCACCTCACCCTGCGTGTCTGTCTGCATGTCCCGGGCCAGCTCCACAGGCAGCACGGACGACACCAGCGTGGAGATGATGGCTGCATCAAGGCCGCACATGGCCCCAAAGCATTTGAGGAGCAGCAGGCGCAGTGACGCTCGGTGTTCCTGGTAGGGGACCCCACGTGCTGAGTTTCTGGAACCCCCACACCTGCCTGTATCCCTCCACACATCCCTCCATGCACCCCTCCCCTCTGTCTAGCACACACCATTTGGTAATAGGCCACCAAGGCCAGGACAGACTCGAACTCATTCCTCTTGCACATTTTCTTGCAAACTTCAGGGTCTGCATCAGTCTGCAGGAAGGAGGAAGTGTGCATCACACAGTGGGCCTGGCTGTGTGGAAACAAGTGAACTGTGTGGGTGCAGGGGAGGCTCCTAAGCAGGAAAGTGGGACAAGGTGGGGCAGGGCACTGCCCACATGCTAGGTATATATGAGGCCACCACCCCATACCAGAATATGCAACAGCTCCTCCAGGTAGCATCGGATGACGCCCTCATCCTCATACAGGGCCCAGCTGCGTTGCTGGGCATCGTCCTTCCTCCGAGCCAGGTCTGCAAAGATCACCTCCAGCCTCTGCTGGTCATGGCAAATCTGTCCAGAGGGCAGGGCTGTGCTCATGTCCTGGGGAGAGAGGGCAAGGCATGGCTCAGTAGATTGTCTCCAGGGAGCTCTCAAGGCCTCGGGTCTACACCATGAGCTCAAGTGCCACATGATCCACACTGGGCAGGGGTTTGCCTCTGGTCCTGATGATCTCCCAGGTCAGGATTCTGCATCAGGTAGTCTATGGGAGGTTTCCCAACGACCTCTCACTGAACTCCCAGATAAACACCCCCATGAGGGCATGGACTCACCTGCCTGAATGTGGCTGAGAACCGGAACTCTCATCCACTCCTGTGGTGGCAGGCCCATTATCTCCTACCTTGTGCTTTCTCCTGAAACCTGCTGACCAAGCACTGGCTCTGTGCCCGGCACAGTATGCTTCTGGCCACTGCCCACCACCCACGCCAGAACTGAAAGAGGACCTTACTTACAAGGGGATCCTCAGCCTGGTCAGCTTTCATTACACACTCTGGGCTCACTGCCTTCGATCCTGCTTCTGATTGGAGCTCTACACAAACCCTGAAGCAGCCACATGCCTCACACTCCCTTATCTGTGAAGAGCTTACCAAACACCACTGCCACTGCCAAGGCCAGCAAGGCACTGCCTGTACATATCTGGGTCCATTCACTCCCTGCAGCCACCCACCTCTGGGCTCACTGCCAGTGACACCAGGGCTCTGCTCTTCCCATACCTGTTCTCTCCACCTGTGTGCCAGCCATGCCACCTTCTTTCCCTCCACATGCAGCCCTGCATCATGGCCCCAGGCCAAGCAAGGCCTCGCCTCAGATGCTCTGCATCCCTTTCTTCTTCCTGAGTCACTTCAAATATCCCCAGCGCCCAGCCTAATGAAAGCCCAGAGCCAGAGTTGAGAAATACCTGTCACATACAGGCCAAACACACAACTGTGGGTAGGAATGGAGTGGGGTTAGCAGGGAGGCATCAGGGAAGTTCCTGGCCAGGCGACCCCCTCACCTTGCCCTCTACCAGCGAGAGGAGGACCTGCTCCATGACAGGTGAGCTGGCTGGCACAGAGGCCTGGATGTGACCCACCACAACACCAATGGCCACACGGCATAATTCATGGCTCAAGCCAGTGTTTCTCCGCACAAGCTCCATCAGTTCTGCCCCAATGGTCCTTGGCACATCAGTCTCCAACGCTGCCTTCTCCTCCATGGTCCCGAGACTCAGAGTACCCAAGGACTCCAAGTCATTAGGGGGTGAGGTTGTACCAACCTCTACCTCCTCTGCAGGGGACTCAGGGGCTGGTGCCTTGGAGGGAGAGGGCAAGGCTTGGGACACTGTGTGTGTGCCTCTGCGTGGCACGGGTGGGGGAGTGGGGGAGCAGCCAAGGCCCAGCTCAGAGGGGCTGGAGCTGGTACAGAGCATATCCAGAGAAGAGCTGTTGACAGAAGAGCCACTGGACACCGAACTACACCTAGAGGGCGTGGTGTTGCGGCCACCTGTGAGCAAAGGACAGATGCTGTGCTACAGCAGGCCCCTTGGGCCCTCACCCCTCCCACCCCAGAGCCCTATGCCCCCGATATGGGCCCCAATGCTGCTGCTAGGCCTTTTGTCCCTAACCAAGCCCAGAGCCCCCAACTGCGCAGCACAGGAGCCCTATCTTCTTCCCAAGCCTCTATTCTTATCTACCTGACACAGCCAGAGGAGCCCTTCCAGGCCCAGAGTGCCCCATCCCATTTCCACACTCTGTCTCTCACCATTCCCCGAGACCACCAGGGCCTCGTGATCACGGTGCTTCACCGGTGGGGGTGGTGTAGTGGGTGCTGCTTGGTGAGCCTGGGGTGGGACCTGTGAGGACAGAAACAGAATATGAGGGGACAGGCTGCTGTGTGGTTGGCTGAACTCTGGCTGCAGTTAAATGATATTAGGTTATATTAGGTCTGAGTGGACCCTTCAGCCTCAGGATGAAGCCTTAAGCCCCACCCACCTCCTCTTCCTCCAGGACGCCCTCACCATGTACCTGGTAGATGGTTCCGTCTGCCCCAAGATGTTCAGAGCTGGGCAAGCTGTATTGCCGTTCAAATCCGGTTCGACAAAGCCCATTGGGTTGCCTAGCAGCAGCAGCATCCAAATGATGATCACTGGTGGATGCAGTGATAACTGTGGCACTGGAGGTCGAGAGGCCTTTACGGGACAAGGTCTCTTTCCGACGGTGGATCAGCTTCCTGATGGGGATAGGAACACTAAGGCAAAGAGTACCACACACAGCACAATGCTCACAGTGCCCTGTGGGAGGCTGGGACCCACAGGTCCAGCCCTCACACCCCATCTCCCCATGCTCCACCACTGTGTGTTGCCCACCCGGAACATCTCTAATGCTCCCTTGGGGAAGCCGCCCACCTCCCTAGCACTCACTGGAGGACTCCACGTTGCTCCAGGCTGTACTTGCCACCATCCCGCATGGCTGTGTTGTGCACAGCCTCGATGGCCCGATCAATGGCCTGGAGGACATCCTGATCTAAGCCCTGCAGGAGGTGAGCAGTCAGACCTGGGCCCAGGCAGGGATGCTTAGCCCAGACCCAGCCCAGAAGGAAGCTGAGTGGAGATCCACAGAATGGGGTCTCAAATGGTATCCTTCAGGGAGCAGGGGCACAAAGTAGTCCCAGAATATCATTTTACTTACACACAGGGCCCCAGTCAGGCCTTGGCTCAGATGCCTCTCAACCTGGGGTCTGGAATAAACCCTTAGCCCAGGAAGCCCCAGTCTGGAGCCATGACCGCATACCTACTCCATCTACCCCTCAGCTTGGTTCAGAGCCCAGGCTAAGATGCCAGGCAGCTTCCAGTGTCTGGAATCCTTAATCAGTCACTCTGGATCCTGATGATCCTTCATAGCACCAAGGTCACACCCCAGGACAGCCCTGTCACTGCAGAGCCCTGTGAAGAGTCTAGGAGCTGAGAAGGAACCAAGGGGATCTCCCCTGCCCATTCCTGCTATCCTCCTGAGCTGTCTCAGACCTGCCGTGGGAAGATGCTCTGTGTTGTTTTGCAAAGGAAGGACACAAAGACTCAGTACTTGATCGAGGCTCAGGCCTCATTCTCAGCAACCCAGGGGACCAGTCAGTCACCCTGCCCTCCCTTACCCAGCCACTCTATATAGCAGGCTCAGAGCTGAGGGAACTCACTTCAGAGTGGTTTGAGACTTCTCCCTGATGGGGGCAGACAGATGGATGCAGTCAGCAAAGCCCATCGTGTGCCATGGTGCAGGGAGACAAGAGAAGATGAAAAGGGGGCAGAAAGAAAGAGTAAGACAGACCTAAAGAGACTCTGAGGCAGGCAGAGGGAAACAGTGAAGCATGACTGCTCCGGAGACAGAATGAGAGAGTCAGAAAAAAAAAAAAAAAAAAAAAAACACCAAGTAGCGGGGCAGAATGAGATGGACGGAAATATATGAGAAACCAAGACAGGAGGATGCAGCAAACAGCCAGGACAGTGACAAAAATGATGGCAGCTTCTCTGTCATCACCAGACACCCAGCCTTTGTGATCCTGCCTGTGGCTCAACGCTCAATAGGGGAAGAGGCAGGACTGCTCCCTGAGGTTTCCCCGAGGCACTCAGGTGGAGGGGCTGTAGGGCAGAGGGCACAGCCCCTCTGGCAAAGACAGAGTATCTATCCTGAACTTGTCTAGGGCAGGATGTTTTCTAAAGCTGGGGACTAGGACAGGGCAGGAATGCCTGGCAGAGGCCACATATGAGGTCTGCGGTTAGAAGAGACCAACTGGAGGAATGGGGACCCCAGCCTCTGCAAGAGGGTTGCTTTTGTAGAAACAGGAAATGGAACTGCAACCTCCACTGGAAGGAAATGGGGCCACCGTCAGACCAAGGAAATCCTCAGGAGGAGACACTCCAGGCTAAGGACAAGGAAGGATGGAGCCCCTGAATTTCAGAGGAAGGAAGTCTGCAAAGTCAGGGCCTGATGCATGGGGAGAGCAGAAGTGACAGTGTCAGGAGGGTCAGCAGGGGTTGGAAACCTTGGTTCAGTGGTTCCTGCTAAGAGCCTAGGGAGTGGCTGGGTACCGGGCAGTCAGACACAGATCTCAGAGTTGGGGGTCACCAAGGGGAGGAGGATGCTCTCAGCCGCCCACGGTCCAAGGGCGGAGTTGGGAGTTGTTGAGAGCCTGGAGGTTTTTAGGGACATAGGTGGTGTCTAAGGTGTCCCAGGCTCAGTGATGGGGGTCTCAGCCTAAAGCTAATAGCTCCACGGTGTGGGCAGGCATAGTGTGGAATCCTAATGATCTGGGGAAGGGGAACAGTAAAGGATGGGGTATCAGGGACTTGGTAACTGGAGTCTTTGGGTCCAGCTCTAGAATCGATCCAGATGCAGGCTCCAATACCGAGGTGTCTTAAGTCACAAGGAGTATCAGTCGCAGAGCTAAGCTTTTGGTAACTATGTCAAGAGCCTGATCTTCTGTAGGGGTTCTGGCCCCTGGTATCTCAGTGCCCACAGGCCTTGGGCCTCGGGGTCAGATGCTCCCAAATTCCTGGGTGCTGGAGGTTGGCCTCCAGGCCCGAAGGACCAGGGCCCCGGGGTGGCGCTCGGTTCGGCGATCGAGGCCCGGCACTCACCTGCAGACGGTGCAGGTAGGCAGGCGGCACGTAGCCCGTCTCGCCGCTGCGCGCCCGCGCCGCCAGCCACCAATGCGCACTGCTGCGCTCCAGCACCAGGAAGGTCTCGCCAGCAGCGAAAGCCAGCGCGTTGGGCTCAGCCGAGTGGAAGGCATACAGCGCGCGGTACATGGGGCCAGGCCAAGACTCCAGCGGACTAGGTACACGGCCGGGTGCCGGAGAGGTATACCAGGCCGGGAGAGAGCGCAACGCCCCGCGCAGACTAGCCCCGCCCCGCCGCGGGACACACTGCGCGTGCGCGTGCGTCCCCGCTCGCGGTGACCCCGCCCCAGGAGCATCAGCCCGGGGCCTGAGACGCGGCGCCTCCTGGCGGAACCAAGAGGCACGGCAGGGCGGGGCCCAGGCACGCAGCCGCAACCCTTCGGCTCTAGGATTCCCTCCCCACCCCCATCCTCAGACATTCACTGCTCGCCAGGGGTCCCAGCCTACAACACTAAGCACTTGGAGAGGGCGCTGTCACTGTGAGTCCTGCTGGTGGGGAGTCTCTGCCGTGGTAGTCAGTGCCCCGTGGTAGGCACTGGAGCAAGTGTGAGCGGGAGACACAGGTATGGGGCATATGATCCCTCTCTCTGTCCAGTCCTCCTGTCTTGCCCCCAGAGCCCACCCTGTAGCTCTCATTTTCTATCGTGGGTCTGCCTGTCCTGTTCCCTCTGCCTGGAAGCTCCCACCCCTACTAACCGTTAGCACCTGTTTTATTACCTTTACAGGACATGAAATCCTTTTGGCAGTACTGGGGATCAAATCCAGGGCATCAACCATGCTAGACAAGTGCCCTACCATTGACTTTTCGTATTTTGAAACACAGTCACCCCTGAACTATCCAGGCTAGCCATCCTCCCCCTCGGCCTCTGGATAGCTGAGATTATAGCATGTACCATCACACACAGCCACATTCTTATTCTAAAAACTTCCCCAAAACCGGAAGGGCTGGCAGAGGATGGGGAGTGGGATACCATGTGGCCTTAGAGGCATATTTGACCCACTCAACTTTGCAGTCAGCTCCAAGTCTTTGAAATCTCTGCAGTCAGTGCTTGATAAAAAAGAAAGAGGCCTCCCAAGTGGGGAGCATTCAGGGGCTGATCACACAAGGCTCCACTGGAAGCCTGAGTCCAGGAGCAGGGCTCTGCTTTAGACATGGTAGGGTAGGCTTAGGGGGCCTGAGGAAGTGGTGGTGAGAGTTCAGAGGCCCAGAGTGGCTAGAACCCAACATGCAGACCCAAGCTTCCCCATACCACATCAGGTACTAAAATTCAAGACCCCTCCTGGCCTCTCCTCCCAAGCACTCTCTAGGCCATGGGCTGCCCTGGCTTGACTTTGTGAAGAACTAGTTTTTACCCAGCGAAGTCTAGGGTTGGGAAGGAGCAGTGACAGGTGATGGGGCCAAGCTCCAACCTGCCTAGAACCTCTCACTGGGCTCTGCTTCACCACTGATCAGGCTGCACCTGGACCACAGCCCGGCACTGGCTCCAGAATCTCTGACATCACAATGTACAGCCAATCAGCTGCTGACAGTGGCAGAGAAGGGATCAAAAGCTGGACCCATGGTTTGAACCACCTGCTGCCCAAAGCAGTGGGGGGGGGGAGAGAGACTCAGCTGGCAGACTGGTGGAACCGTGGCTAAGATATGTGTATAGGGGTTTTTGAGTGACCTCAGGTTACCAAGTTGGGGGACTGAAGATCAAGTTAACATACACAGGTGACTTTTGGCTCTCTAGGGTAGGGGCAACAGCAAGGACATTGCTGGGCTAGAACCCGTAAGGCTTTGATGTTCAAGAGGAGGACTACATGCCTCTGAAAAGAGTAACAGCAGCACTGTTTACGATAAACAAAAATCTGTATTAGAACATTTACACTCAGGGAAGAAAGAGGTATCTGCATCATCAAATTTGGAATGTTGAAGAAATAAAATAAATAGATTCTGAGCACAGATGGGGCTGTCTCAGGCCAGGGCTCACAAAGGCCACTATGCATCAGCTCCAGGCTGCAAGGACCACCACCTGGCCATCCTGATGACCTCCCCGACACAGCACAGCTGTGCCTGGGACACAGTGTCTCTGAGCTCCGAGAGCAGCCTGTGGGCTCACTCCCCGCTCTCCTCACTGATTTCTGTGACAATGTCTATCAGGCTCTGGAGCCCAAAGATATAGCCAGCATCCTGGCCCTCGTGTACCACACTGTCCTCGCCATACAGCCTGCAGGTGGTATGAGCAAAGTCGATCATGCGCACGTCCACGGAACTGGCCCCAAGGGGCTTGTAGGCATAGGCACCGGCAGACTCATCGGCGGACTCCTCTGACAGGTCCTCCAAGTCCTCAGCATCTGAGTCCAGGGCTACCTCCGGCCACTCTTTGCCATCATAGATCACCAGCAGGGAGCTCGAGTAGAAGCGGTAGGACTCCTGTTGTTCCAGCACTGCCTTGAGCTCAGCTAGCTTCTTTAGCACTGGGCTCAGGAGCTCCCGGCGCAGGTACCGCCCATTGTGGAAGAACTGGAACAGTGCCTCCTTAAAGCCCTGCACTGACAGCTTCCGCCCGTGGTACTTGTTCATGAACATGAGCTGCCCAGTGCCTGCCTGGTACACCTGAGGAAGAGACCAGAAGCTCAAGGGTTTCGGCCACAAGGCCTGGACCCTTGGGAAACTGTGGCAGTGTGATGACCCAGATCCGATCCTTTACCTTGTTGACTACAGGGGCCATACACAAGCTGGTGGACGTTGTATCTGAACTGAATTTTGTCAGATTCCTAGCCCTCTACTCAGCATTGGCATCCAAAGATACAGTCCAACTATCTTGCCTTTATCCTTACCCCCGTCTAGATTCTAGACTCAGCCCACCAGGTCAGCCACAGAGGAGTCACCTAGATATGTGTACTTTATTTTTTTCAACCAGAAACAAACACACTCATGTAGGTTAACTGTGGAATCTTTAAAGCAAACAGAACCATGGCACAGTGGGCAGGTGGCAGCCACTGGGTGCCCCAGCCAGCCCTCCTCACGCATGTGCACACTCCTCACCTGCATGCCACACACACGCACGCCAATGACAGCAGACGTGCTCTGCTGACATTTTCGGATCTGGTTGGCTGCTTTCTCCTCTGAAGCATCATCCCCATGCTGGCGTGTGCCCATCTTGAGGTCCAGAACACATGGCACTTCATAGCGGGAAGTCAGGTTCTCTAGTAAGATGAATTCTGAGTGGTTAAGGACAGTACCCTCAAAAGGAAGTGCTACTGTAAGGGACCTGAGTACTCCTGTGTCACAGGGCTTGCACACAGTGACCCAGCCAAGCTTAAGCCCACAGGGAACTCCATTCATTGTGGTGTCACAGGGGCCTGGCCCAAGAGCAGCCAGCATCTAAACTCAATGAGACACCCAGCTTGGAAGACATACTCGCTATTTCCTGAATCTTCCTAAGTAGGGGACCACAGGCTCTGAGCATACTCTCCTCAGTCACACACAGCACAAGTTCATTCAATACATCCTGAAGCCTTAAAACGTGAACTTTGTAAATACCAGTATAAGGGCTGGTGATATAGCTCATCGGCACAGCATGTGCCCGCTAAGGGCAAGGTCCTAAGTTTGATTCCTGGTACCAAAATAAATATATAAACACAATACAATACAATGCAAGTACAAATTTGTGAAAATACCTCCCTTTAAAAACCTCCAATTGCTGGGGCTGGGGATTTAGCTCAGTGGCATAAGCACCTGCCTTGCAAGAAGGCGGTCATGAGTTCGATCCCCGGTACCGATAAAAAATAAAATTAAAAAAAAAAAACCTCCAACGGCAGCTGTGTGCACTGAGAAGACCAAGACATATGATCAGAGACAAGAGGCTCCTCATGAACAGCTGTCCCACCAGTCCCCATGAATGGGAGGACAACCTGGTGAAATACAGCCACTGCTCCTGCCTGTACAGCCTACAAGCTAGGAATGGCCTATACTTTTTTTAAGAGAGAAAAATACATGTAATACTTTATGACCCATGAAAATGATACTCAATTACAGTGACCATAAAATTTTATCAGAACACAGCACACCTGGTCATTTATACTACTGTCAATGACAAAACTGGAGAATTGTTCAGACTGTACAGCCCACAAAACCTAAAATACGGGGCTGGGGATTTAGCTCAGTGGCATAAGCACCGGCCTGGCAAGCATGTGGTTGTGAGTTCGATCCCCGGTACCAATAAAAAAAAAAAAAAAAACACCTAAAATACCTATTTGGCCCTTTATTGAAAAAGTTTACTGAACCTTGCCTTAAGAGCAGTGTTCTAAGTTCACATCTGGTGCAGGAGACGTACAGAGCCATTTCTCAGACCATCTTTATTTTGGTACTGGGGATCGAACTCATGACCTCACACTCACCAGGCAGGCACTTGTGCCACTGAGCTAAATCTCTGGCCCCAGATCATCTTTTTCATATCACAAAGCAAAACATGCCTGCAATCCCAGCACTCAGGAGGCTGAGGCAAAAGGATCACCTTGAGTTAGAAGCCAGACTAAACTACCTGGTGAGACTCTGTCTCAAAAAAAAAAAAAAAAGACAAACCACCATAGACTACTATGTTTCCATCAATCTTGGAGACAATCTTAAAGTCAGTAAAGTAACAACTGTAATACACTCAAACATAAAAAATATTCTAATTCATGCATTCATAACAATAGTTAAAAACTCTAGCACTCTGGGAGGGTGGTTGAGGCAAGAAGATCAGAAATTTGAAAACACCACCCTGGGCAACTTAGTGAAATCCTGTCTCAAAATAAAACAATGAAAAAGAATTTTTTAAAAAGGGCTGGGGAATGTAGCTTAGTATGCAAGATTGGCCTAAACTGAGGTTCATTTCTGTTTTCAAAACAAAACAACAAATCTCACTGACCACCTCTGGAGGAGGGCAGGGAACTTTACTTGTTACTCCAAACATCTACTAAGGGCAAATAAGCATTTAACCCACTAGTATGGTTCAATATGAAGTGCCCTCCAAAGATCCATTCATTGAAGGCTCCATTCCCTGACGCAGCCAGATGGAGCCTAGAGTGGTACATTGACTCTAAGGGTCCTAACCTCAGCAGGGGCTTCATCTGAAGGTGCAGCTGGAAGGTGGGCCCAGGCAGAGGAAGCAGGTCCCTGAGGACGTGCCTTCTATAAGTACATCCTGTCAAGGGCTAACGATTTAGCTCAGTGGTGTAAGCGCCTGCCTGCCAAGCAAAAGATCGTGAGTTCAA